CCTGATCTAGAGTTTACATCACAACAGGAAGCAGGATATGTATCTCACTAGCTCCTTCAGACACCTGAGGACTCCTCAGTCCATGTAAAGGGCTTCCTTCACTCTTGGCAGTGGAAATAGTAAAAGATTACACTGGACAAAACATACTCCTAAACGTGTTCACCCAGCAGCTGAAGGACTGGATCAGGAAATTATAGGAAACAGATGAAGTTTTAGACCCCATTCTTCAGAGTATGCAAATAACCAAGGTCAGTGAATACTGTTGTTTCTCAAAGTGGAAGGAGGAAGAAGTAGGAAAGGGAGATCGTAGTGATACCTGAGAGACTACCTACTCAAAAGAAAAGGAAATTTAGAAGATGACAGCATCATCCTTTTAAGCACCGGAGTTTGACTAAGGCAGCTTTGGGGCATGTAGCTCTCACTCTGCCTCTCACCACAATTTATCTACCTATGGGACAGACAGGTGTGATATTTTGTTCCTTCCCTCAGCCCTGTCAGTCTTGTTACCTCTGAACCAGAAATCACTGCCATCATAGCCAGCATCAAAACTAGCCACCAGACACTGTAGCCTGAAATGCAGGAACCATTTCAGCTGGCACAAATCCTGCTGCTTTTTTTCTGAAATGCCAAAACATTTTTCCTCAGAAGAGAATGCAGCCAAGTACATGTGAATGGTCTGCCATGGAAAAAACCTAACTACCCCAAGGCAAAGCAATATTGTGACCTCATAACACAACTTTATGAACAGAAGCAATAACTTCTCTAATCTGATATTTAAGCCAAGTCTATAATTAGGGTAATTTATTTTGGTGATCAATTGTAATTTGCATGCAAGTAGTACAAGGCAGATGCCTTCAGAAATTTTCCCCATCTCCTCTGTTCTGAAACAATTTCTTATTACTTCTAGGATGCTTTTCCCATTCATGTCCTCAGGGATCATATATCTTGGAGGTAACTATGAGATGTGAAACTAGGGGATAGCTGAGATTTTCAACATCTGAGGCATGCCAAAAGAAATGGGAACTTTTAAATAAAAGAAAAATGTGGGTTTGAAATAAGGAAAGTGGTGATACCAGCTGCACAGGCAGGTGCTGTGTCTCTCACAAGAGGGGACAGGTAGGGTGCAGAGTTGGGTAGGGGAGCAGATAGGAAAAACTATGATTTAGGAAAAACATTCCGAACATCAGCACCAGCTCAACCTGGAGACAGGCACTCTCTCAGTCAGGACTTGTCCATCCATATATGTTATTTAAATATGAAACCCATAGCTGTTTGTCTTAAGAGTTTTATGTTAGGTAGGGGTAAATGTTTTATGTGTGCCTTCATCACATTTTTTCTGCCTCTACATTTTAACTTTCTTTTTCCTAGATTAAATAGTAGCAGTGGAAGGTAACTCTCTGCACACATCTTTAAATAGTTTATTTTTAAACCTTAATTTTTATCATGGCCTGTCCTGACAAGGAAAAGATTCAGTGATGTGCTCATGAGTCATGAAGAGCATGCTCAGAAAGAAGAGATGTTTACACTGATTTGTTTAGATGAAAATTACCACATTTGCTGACCCTTGGGAGCATATAAACATTTAATCAGAACACATTCTAGTAGTAAACACATGGGACATGTATCGATAACATCCATTTGATTCACTCATGTTATTTAAATTATATTCTTTTTGTTTGAAAGCAAAACTAGTGAGAGACCCTAAGTCAGAAATATAATTTATTGGGAAAAGGGAAAAGAGACAAAATACATGCAATGATACAAAAGGAAGATTACTGACAAGGTCAGAATACAACTCGAAACTCTTTTGGCTATCGTGTTGGTAGCAGTCTAAATCGGAGACGCTGTAGTTTTTTTTGGAGCTGTAGATGTGGTTTTTATTTGTGTAGTGGTCTTGTAGAAGAGGTGTAGTTGGTCTAGTGGAAAAAACCCAGCTGTCTAGGGTTTTTTCCCCCTGCAGTGTCTTCTTGGAAACTTGTGGGAAGGCTGCTTCTCTGTCTAGAAATTTCAGGATATATCTAGGTGGGAATGCTTAGCTCCTCCCCACTGGGTGGAGTATCTTACAATGGGCTGATGTTATTCTGAGTCACGAGGTGTGTCTTTGATTACAGAGCTGGCTCCTGGAAAGTGTTATCTTTGAGTCATGTGGTAAGACATTGATGGGCCCATTAATAGGAGATAAGGAAAACTGCCCAAAGAGCAACTGCTACACAGATGGTACTAGAAAATATCTTGTCTTTCAATCTCAGATATATATATGTACAAAATACTCTATTATTGGAGGGTGAGTTGGTAAAGTAAAAGACAGAGATCCTTGCCCTCAAGATTTGGCATTATGTTGAGAAATACAAATATTTAAAAGAAAGTAATTGTCACTTGGTAATTCCCTTTGAGAGTCTGAGACTAAAAAGTGAACTTTCTCTGTGCTGCTCATCCTGCCCAGCATTATGCAGCACATTCAAAATGTTGTTCAGTTCAAAGACAGCAGCTTGATTGGTGCCATCCTTGTAGTAAACACATCTGATATTTTCTCCACATTTTTGTATTATGAACTGATTATAATTCACTATCACCTAATTTTTTGATGTGAGACAGTATAGAGTGCTTGAGTAAGACATTTCAGACCCAGAAAGGTTTCATTTCACACAGCTTTGTTCATCCTGGGGTTATATTCATGAAACAATTGCATTCATGAAACAATTGTATCAGGAATTATGTCTACACTGCTGAAAATACATCCATTATGTGCAGAAGAGGTCCATGGACTTCATGGTTTTAACAGCTTTTATCAATTTTGCTCAGAAATAGTCCCTCTGGATGGCCACATTTCTATGGAATGCCACTTAGCCTGAGTTTCCTTGGCATCTTGGCAGTGATGTTATATGGAAAGAGAAAACACAGAGATACATTTTTGTTGGCCAAAGCTAAGGATATACATTTAATTCTCTAGAATGTATCATGTCAGTGTAGAAACGAAGCCACAAGGACAATGTTCCAGGATGGCAAAAGATGAAAATAACAAAGAGTGTTCTACAGAAACAAGCTCTTGGGAGTAAACTCAGAAATAAATATTTCCAAAACCAAACCCCACTTTTCATCTGAAAGTGAAATAACTGATGCACTCCAAAAAGAAGACAAAATCTGTATTAATGTTAATGGGCCATGTCAATGACCCTCCCCTGGGTTGTGAAGTCACTGACATTTGTCCGCCTTCCCGTCTTTCACCAGTGGAAACCCTCACCAAAACTGCTGCCAGCTGTTCCACAGACTCAGTTTATTGCTAAACTCATGTCTTTAATCACAATGCAAATTTTTTGTGATTAAACCACTTTCATTTTGTTTTACCCTTCATTATGTTTATCAGCACCACAGAGAAAGCTGATGAAGATCTCAAAAGACAATCTCATCTTTTCCCAAGCTTCAAGACAAAATGATCTATACCAATTTTTTCCTCACAGACAAAATAGCTTGAGTTTAAAAGAAAAAGAAACACCAAAAATAAATAAATCAAAAGTCTAGACACCAATAGTTTCATCAGTTATCTGGCCCAGTGCATTTTAATTTTTCTTCTTTCTTATTGTAATTCAGTAACACAGTAGATATATAAAACACTGGATTATACTGGTTTTGCAATAGACTTTCAGATTTTTAATCGATTGCATATTTTCCACTATACAAAACCCAATTCCATCTGTCTTTCCTCAAGGGTCATATCTTTCATATGCCTTCAGTTTCACTTTCTTCCTTAATTCCTATCACCCACATCTCTCTTGGAACAACCAAAATTAGACACAGCAATCCAGCTCAGGACTACACAGAGTGTAGTGACAGTGCTACACAGAGAAAAGACTACTCCATGTGTTTCACATGTGACTCTTCTGTGCTTTTGTGAATTTTGTTTTTTTTCATCCCAGTTTGACAGCATTGGCCTCTATTCAGCTTTCCTTCCAGTACATCTCCCAGATGCTATTTTGTAGAAAAGCTTCCTGTAAAGTCCTCCCCAGCTTCTGCTTATTAATAGATTATTCCTACACGAAAATCTCATGCTTCTGCATGAAATGTTCTCTTAGTTGTGTTTCAAGTTCATAACAAGTTTCTATTAATTACCAACTCTTTTTATCCCTTTTGTCCTTAGGCTGCCTTTCCATGAGTAACAATAATCCTATTGAGTAAAAATAACCTTATATTCAAGCTTTCATTTATTCTGTTATTATTCCTTTCTTTTTATCTAAATATGAACTACCACTCTCTAAATACTACTACTACTACTACTACTACTACTACTACTACTACTACTACTACTACTACTGAACTACAGAATATCACCATCTCTTTTATGGAAATCCTCTTCCTTGATCTTATTCCATTTCTCAGGATGAAATGTAGACATGCCCATCTCCAGTTACTTCTTTTGACTCTTGAAAGAAAATTCTGTTCTGTCACTTTCCAAAAATTTAAGGGGCATTTTATTACCTCTTGTCTCTGTTGCCCACTTAATACTCCTGAACTGATAGCTGAAAACTCATTGTTGTGTCTTTCTCCTGATACAGGATGGAAGGCCCTAGAATTAATTACCAGCTTACATAAGGTAGTTCATCCTCCCTTTCCCTTTCTTTCCTCCCTGTCTTTCTGAAATATGGGTATAACCACATCCAGTCCCCTCAACTATCTCTATAGATCTTTACTGACTTAAGTCACCATTTCCATAATGTATGAAATTTTCTTGGTCAGAGCATACAAATTTTTCAGCAGAATGACTGCCTTCTTTGCTTGATATGATGTTACTACTTATCTCATGTTATTACTTAGAAAGAAAAAAGAATAAAAAAATCTCTATTTTATAAAAACCAGTGAATCACACTGGCTTGACTTTCTTTTTAAAGCAAGAGGAATTATAGTAATCTTGCCAAATTCTTCACACTTATCACTTAAGTGTCACCCAGAACGGACCTACAAACTTCACAAGCAAGAATAAAATGCATTTCCTTGTTTTCATTCTTTGAGAAAATGTGTACTAGAGAACTTGTAAAACTATTTCAGCATTAATGAATTCTTTCAAGTTGTTCTGCTTAGAACTGTTATAAATAAATAGCTATCTTTGATGTTAATATTTAGTTAAAATAATCAGACGTGTTCTGGCTCCCCAGTTTCTGGGAAACCACAAATAATAGTTTTGCTTGGTTACACCATTAGGACTTTTGGACAAGAGAGATTTGCTCAGAAAGTTCAAGTGTTGGGATATATTTCTTTATCTGATTTTTCACTCTTCCAATATTCACCTCTACCCAGACCTTCTCCATTCAATGCATCAGATCTCCAATAGCTCTGCAGTTGCCAATGTTACAGCAGAATAACTGCATCATTGTTTCAGTTTGGAGAATTACAATATTTCACTGGCTGCTTCCTTTATTAAGCCGATCCATTTATGCCCACCAAAATTCAGTCCCCTAATTCCAAGCACTGTGCCATGACTACAGCTACTCTCAGTGATTACTAACAGTTTTACTGTTGAGCTTCAGTACAGTACATATGTCACTGTGCTGCTGAGAATACATGGGAGAGGACTATAACTAATGGTGCCCAAACCCTACAATTACAATTGTCCATTTTTAGTCTGATTGCCAACAAACAAATGAGAAACCAGGACTTTCCTATCTTAAAGTGATTCTGTCAAGTCCTTTCTGTCTGAATCTCAGGTCACATAAGCAAAAATCACAAAGCAACAAAAACCAAAGTACAACATGGTCTTTTATAGGTCCTGCCCATGAATTACAAGCCAGCATGAAATCTGAAGCTGGTCAGCTATAATTAAGGTAATGGATCAAGTACTAGCCCTAACTTCCCACATGGTTTCTGAGTGCAGAGAAGTGTATGGCTGGTGTTCTTCTGGTCTGTTGGAGAAATCAAAAAGTGGTAAGGAGCTATAATACCTGTATAATACAGTACACCTTCTTTGTACTTGACTGTCACTTTGAGGAAATGTTTCAGCAAAGCTGGGTGTCACCTGGTTTTACACACCATGAATTGCATTCTTTTCAGCAGTAATGGTTTTCTTGGGGAAACAAGTCCTCATTTTCAGCTTGTGTAACAGGGTGTTTCTGGTTAGGGTGTTTGGGTTGCTTGTTTTTAATAATGTGCTTATGGATAATAGTTTTTAAAAATAGATATATTCTCTAGTTTGTTATGGCTGGTGTTAATTAATGATATTTGATTGTGTTTAACATTACTCTTCCTGTCAGTGACATTTGGACAGATTAACCAAACACATGGAGACATGGGTGTATATTGGCTATTTGAAATAGAATCATTTTCACATGCATATATTATTTTCCAAAGATAGAAAATATTTTTGGATAAAGGAAGAATAGTATTTCTTCTCCAAATGGCATTATGATATTTTTAACATAATGTGTTCATCCCAAAATTACAAAGGCAAAATTGTAAACTACAGTTTTTTGTGTTGCTCCTCTCCCTTCTATTGATGGGAATCTTCTCTGTTTTACATGTGTATTTTAGTCCAGAATTTTTGCTTCTACAAAAGTATCAGAGTACCCTGATTTATTTTTTACTTAAGGATAGAGCGGTTAGCTGTAACTAGACTACAAGATTTTGTTTCTCAGTAAGTTTGATGGCGAATATTTTTCCAGGAGATCATTTGTTATTCCTTCTTTTTTGATTTTCTATTTAATCTCTTTGTTTATAGCTTGGGTGGGTTTTTCCCTCTGAAGTTGCTCATTATCTTGCATAGAGCATATCATCCCTTCCAAAGGAAGAAATGGGGAAAGGAGGGAGAGAGAAGGAAACAAATTCCTACTCAGCACCCTGTGACTCTTTTTTCTGCATGATCAGTTCTTTGCTCTTCTCCCACACCCTTTTTGGACCAACTTTTCTATGCAGGGGAACTCAGGCTCTTTCTTGCCAGGCCTGTGGAGTGCAGAGCAATGGATCAGAATTATGATTGTAACAACTTAGTTGTTACTGTGTGTGAATAACTAATAATGAAGTGAAAGATACTTTGAAAAGTGAAAGTTCTGTGTTTTGGAGGTATTAAACACTCCCTAGCTGCCAGTGATGCTGACTACCATATGTATTTCATAGCTCTGAAATAGAGTCCTAGTGACATTCTGGGTTCATGCTACCTCTATTCATCTACTTTGCTACCTATGTGCTCTCAATCCCACAGCAGGAGTTTGCTTTCCAGGTGGGATGTCCATCTGTCTAAAATTTTATATGCAAAGATAGTTTCTTCTGAAATTAATAGTTTATGACCAGTTTAAATAAAAAACTGAGATGTGATAAGGAGATTTCTCACTCTAGTTGAGGTGAGTAAGAAGAAAACTTGTTACCTTTGGTGAAGGAAATACTCCATAAAATTGTGAAGCCTGAGGCTGGGACAGCAAAGTAAATTCACCTTGATGTTTCTGTCTCTTCCAAAAATCTGTAAATTCATATTCTTCATGGCAGCAGAAGCCAAAGGCCTTCTAAATTCTTTGAAATAGAGAACAGATATGTATGTGCATAATGCAGGCTTAACGCTGAGTCAAAGAATCACAGAACCATTTAGGTTTGAAAAGATGTAAAGACTTCTAAGATCATTGAATCAGACTATTAACCCAGCAATGTCAAGTCCACCACAAAACCATGTTCCTACAGCTGCACACGTTTTAAATGCCTTCGGGGATGGTGACAAAACAACTTCCCTGGGCAGCCTGTTCCAATGCTTGACAACATTGGTGAAGATCTTTTCTCATAATATCCAAACTAAACCTCCTCTGGCAACACTGAAGGCCACTTCCTCATCCTGTCGCTTGTTATTTGGGAAAAGAGGCAGATGCACACCTTGCCACAACCTCCTTTCAGGTAGTTGTAGAGAAAGACAAGGCTCCCCTGCACTTCCTTTTCTCCAGGCTAATATAAATTACATATATATACATACAAGTAATATAAACTATAAATAAGTAATATAAATCCTAGGTAATGCTAATGAGATAAGAAAGTACTAAAACAGTCTGACCATGCAGGTCAGACCATGCAGGAGTTTGACTCTACCTGAACATACAGGGTTCCAGTGGGCAGGAGATAGTAATACCCAATAATGCATTTTCTTCTGAGGTTCTTTCAAAGCATCGTGACCAATGAATGTAACACAAACATAATCTGAATGCTGAGTGGGAGGTGGACAAGAGAAGCATAAACTAGGCCAAGTCTTGAACTTGTTACTTGAGAAATATTTCAGCTGAGTAACTAATTTAAATTTCAGCTGAGTAACTAATTTAAATATCTGGGAGTCTTCTCTGGGATACCAGCATTTGGTAAATGGAAGAACTAGGAGTTTATATATCATAAACCCTAGAGGCATTACTGAAAGTAAATTATGTAGATTATATGTGCCAGTGGGGGAGCAGAAGAACTGTTATTTTCTAGGCTTGTGCAGAGAACTTTATTTGTTTACCTGATTTCTTCAGAAGGGAGAAAAAAAAAGACATCAACAAAACCAACCACCACCCTCTCAATTAACCCAAACCATGAAACAGTCTTATTTCTGAAAAAAAAAAAAAAGAAAAAAAACAAACAAAAAAAATCCCACACAAATTGCGAGGAAGAGGTGAGAACCAAATGAGCAAAACATATTGCTTCGTTTCTCTAAAAACAATTTTGAATCTAGCTGGTTTCAGTTGTCATGTCATTTATGAGTGGAACAGAAAAGCCTTTATTTAATAACAATTCTTAGTTTAAATTCACCAGCATATCTTCAGTCTTATTTTAAATTCTCTAAGTGCAGTGATGCAATTTCCCAAATGTGACAGGACCTTGCAGATAACTTTCCCAAATCTGAATGTTTCTCTGGACAAGCAACTCTCTAAATACCCTTTATCTCTGCAGCTAAGTTTTCTAGATTTAAATTCATCCAGTTTTAGTAATGGTGAGACTCTGTGTCCAGTTCTGGGCTTCTCAGCATAAGAGAAAAATGGAGCTTCTGGAGTAGGTCCATTGTAAGGCTATGAGGATGATGAGGATGCTGAGGCACCTCATGGATAGGGAAAGGCTGGGGTAGGTGGTCCTGTTTGCCCTGAGAGGGATCTCATCAATGCCTGTAAGTATCTGGTGGCAAGAGGACAGAGCATCTCTTCTCAATGATGCCAGGCAATAGAGTAAAGGGCAACAAGCAGAAACTGGAACACAAAGTTCCACCTGAACTTCCATGTGGAAGAACTTCTGCATTGTGCAGGTGACCAAGTGCTCTAACAGGTTTCCCAGAGAGGTTGTAGAGTCCTCTTTCCCTGGTAATATTCAAACTATGTTAATCAATCCTATGATATGTGCTCTCCATGACTCCACTGGAGCCAGATGGGCCAGATGACATCCAGCACTCCCCTTCTAATATCAACTATTCTGTGAGAGTCAGGACAGAAGCGGTGCTCCGGCGAGGGGCTGATGGGCTCTCTGTGCGCTTTGCAGGCTCGGACACCCTCGGGTGGCTTCTGAAGGGCGACAGAGGGCAGGAGCCAGCCTGCATCCCTCTGCAGGTCCCTTATCCTGGGCGGCTCTGCCCGGCCGCGGCGCCGGCCTTGGTGCGCAGCCCGAGCGGCGGGCGGGCGGTGCCGCCGCTGTGAACCCGGGGCGGGCGCTGCGGAGCCGCCCCGCGGGGACCGCGCCGCCGGGTCCACCGCCACCCACACCTGCGGGAGCCTGCGCGGGCTGTGGAGGTGAGCTGGAATAACGAGAGGGGAGGGAAAAGCACAGTCAGAAATCGAAGAGCTGTTTGGTTTTTTGGTTTTTTTTCCCTTTTTTTTCTCTTTATCTGAGGTTGGTTAGGCATTCTCTTATCAATGTTATTTTAGGTTTCATCAGATTCGTGTGCGGTTTTTTCACTAGGGACTTTGTTGTTTTGGTCTTTTTGTTTGTTTGTTTGTTTTAAACCAGTATACTTGATAGATCAAGAATAAAAGCCTCAGGAGACTAAGAGCATCAGTTATTTACTGTCTCTAAATGCATCCTAGTACCACATGGCATAACAAGTGCGAGTCTTATCGGTGTACTCATGACCATGTTATGGCTGTTTGTTTAGTTCTAATCAAACATAAGGTAATGAGGGAAACCATCTATTCTGTAAGAGATGGTTTACAGTAACTTTTATATTAATGATTTCGGATTTATCATAAAAGACTACTGAAAAATGCTACTGACCTAAGTCGCCTAGTAATAGTGTTCACTGTTCTTAATATCTCATTAATAGTCCCTACTTTTTCATGCTGTTACTTTTTTTTTTTTTTAAGTCTTTCTATTTAAGTAGAATAATGTTGAGACCAAAATGTGATAAGTCATGGAAAAAACCACAGATGTGAAGTCTTCAAATATTTGCTAAATCAAAGTGTTTTGTTTGGGGGGGGGGGGGGGGTTAATTGCAGGTTCTAATTAATGTGACTCTCTCATAAGCATAGACCAAAAAGAACAATGAAGGACTATTCTGCAAATTCCACAGAACAGAACCTCTCCAATCCTGGTAAGAAGGAACACCACATGTGTGTTTGAAAAATATGTTCCACAGATTTGAAACTAAAGAATGTTATAAAGCTCTCCCAACGGCCATAGTGATTTTGTGGTTGATAACATGATGAGTTTCCTATGAATGAGTCAATTAAAGCTACACCTATACAATATTTTTTTAGTGAATCATTCCACCAAGTTCAACAAAATTGATTGGCATTTGTAAAACTATTCAGGAAGGTCCTAGCCTGGGCATGAAAATTCTCGTGAGGTAATCTGGAAGATCATTATCCCTTTTGAATGGTTGTCTCAAACAGCCATTGTTGGCCAACTAACCTTAAAACAGTAGGTAAAAAATTCTATTCATCGTGAGTCAGCAGCGAAAGTTAAAGTAAGTGTAAATTGGGAGTGGCTGGTATGGGGAGCAACTTGTCTCCTTTTGTTTTAATGCTGGCTCCCCACTGTGGTTAATAATCTGTTTCTTTATGTATATATTTATGTCTTATTTTATGCATTTAGAACTATGAGATTCCTGGGTAGGACTGTGCTTTCATCTAACTTTCTGAAGCTCCCACTCAGCGCAAAGGAAATGGGACATGTAACAACTATTGCAATAGAATAGTGAAGATGGTTATTAGAGTTAAGGACATGATTCTTTAGTTAACTGCCATCTAGTCTGTGTTACCTACAGCAATTATAACCTTCACTATAAGCAATTCCACTCATTTGTGAGGACTTCTAATTTGCATTGAGTTGTGCAGGTATTTGAAGGAAGAATTAACTCTTTCTTTTAGTCTTTGATAATCTTTCTGTATAAATACATTGTAATTATAAAAATGAAGTTTCCATCTCAGAAATGGGCATGGAAGCTTTATCTGGGAATAAAGATGAACTGAAGAGAAGGAGCTTGGTGACTTTCTCTTGAAACTTCCTCCCAAGAACATGAGAAAAGACTAGTCTTTAAATGCAAAAGAACCAGCAGTGAAAAACACAAGAAGGTAGTACGATAGATGGATTATTATGCTAAAAAGTATTTTTATTTCACAGAATCTAGAAGCAAGGGGTGTGATAATACTTCTTTCCAGCATGAAGAACATGTAGAACAAATAGACCAGTTAAAGCCCAAGAAGGAAGTGTAGGTATTTTTTTAACTTAAAGTTAACTGGGTGTACGGGGATGTCAGAGGGGCAGGGGAAGGAGGAGAAGAACTTAATACAGATTTACTTAAAAAAACCATCATCTTAATTAGTCTTTTGTACTCTACTCTAGGAAGGAAGATAAGAAGCCAGAGAAACAAATGGCTGGCATTCTTGAATTGGTTAGTGTCCTGATAGTCTGCTTTATACTTTCTTTTCTTTCTTTGGCATTGTGAGTTGTTTATGATTACAATTCATTGGCAACCAAAAACTGGAGAAGAAGCCTGAGGACTACTGATTCTAGACCTGCTGAGAATCAGTGATAATGGTTTTGTGGCAGTTTTTTGTAGGACAGCTGTGCCCAAAGAAGCATAGCTCTTGCACGTGGACATGATTACTCTGAAACAAGAAAACTTTTATTCTTCTGTGGTTTATTCTATGTATGTTTACGCTTTATGAGATGGTTAGGCCATTCAGGAATCAAATGCTCTGATTTCAGATTAACCACATCCTGGGATATCTATAGCAGTTTAAATTCACACCCTTCCTCTAACAAAACAAAGCTTCAGGGACAGACAAGTTTTAAGATACAATCTATCTCTGCTGAAAACATTTTCTACTGGTAGGTATAAACCAGGTGCTGGTCAATAACTCATGTTTACATAGTAGAGGCATTATCGTAGTTTATACGTAACTCAATGGAACACAAAATACAATATATTCTACAAAGGTCATCATCACTTGCAAGCATGTAGTTTTTTTTCCAGACTGAGAATTGTGCCCTACCAGTGTTCTCTTAGCAGCCTAATTTAAAGATTTGTACTATTGATTGACTTGATTTAAAGATTTTGGGTACTAATTTAAAGATGTGTTGCACTGCTACAAAATCTTTATGTACTGAGTTTGCTTTCAGTTGGAGTGCTGCTACTTAGAATATATGGATGATGCATGTTCTGCAAGTCTGCTGTACTGTAGCAAATGCATGAATTGTCAGGTGTAATGCCACTTTTTTCTTTTTTTTTTTCCTTTTAATGCTTACATAGTTTCGCTATGCTGATGGGGTGGATGTCCTGTTGATGATAGTTGGTTTGGTTGCAGCGGCTGCAAATGGTACTGGAATGCCACTTATGATCATTATCTTTGGAGAGATGACAAACAGCTTTGTGCTAAGTGGCGTGAAATCCAATGGTAAAAAGTTTAAATTAAATTTCTCTACATATTGGCTGTGCTTTGCTACTGAGGCTAAGATTCTTTTTTCCCCCAGACTATACACTGTTACATGTCTAAAGAAGTATATTATGAGCTACGCTCATCCTGCTGGAAATAACCCAGTCATTTCAATCCATCTTTAATGACTAGATCAGGGCAAAACCAAAGCTTTGAATTTGCACTTTATGCCAATGTACTTTGACTTTGTTGAGATGTTAGGGAGTGCAATCAACCTCAGTTATCACTAATTGCTTTTAAAAAAGTGTATTTGCCAAATAATTTTGTATTTAAGTTTGTATTGAAAGACCCACTTGCAAAATACAAAATATTCCCAAACATGATGACTTCATATTGCCCTGAACCAATTCCTCTATATAACACTTCCACAAATATTCCTATTTTTTATTTCCTCTTGACAGATACTTCAGTAAACAGTTCCAGCTGCCTGTCAGATCCAGGTGTGGATATAGAAGGTGAAATGACAAAGTAAGGGTCTGTAGTTATCCTGTTAATAATGTATTGGACAGTTTTCTTTTACTGTGTTTTCTGTTTGAGCAGAAGCCATGTTTGCCTTCCCAATAATGCATCACAAGCATCAGGATTTACTTTGGTGTGCTTAATGAAGACTAGTTGCTGCTCTGTGTGTCTAACTTCTCTCATGAGCTACATGGGATCACATGGGCTTTTGTTCCCTTATCCTAGGTTTGCTTACTACTACGTGGGAATTGGCTTTGCTGTGCTGATCCTGAGCATCATCCAAGTGTGGACATTTTTGGTTACTGCTACAAGGCAAACTGCAAGGATCCGGCAGAAGTTCTTTTTCTCAGTGCTCCATCAGGAGATGGCTTGGTTTGATACCACCCAGATAGGAACACTGAACACCAGACTGACAGAGTGAGGGTTCTGTTTTGGCTTTTTTTTACACACATACACACACCACCAAGTATGGCACTTAAAAGAAAACTGACATTTATCTCCGCAGAATAGACTATAGATAGTTAAAAAAACAAAACTAAACAAAATCTACCAAACATAAAGTGTGAAATATTACAGCTTAAAGTGAGAAATTCATTATCCTTTTCAGCCTCATTTGTGCAGTTTGTGATATGTGCATTAGAAGGTGGTTTCCATGAAATGCCTGACACTGGCTTTCTGAAGTCATTGAAGTACTTATTCAGCCACTGCTAAACAAACAGCTCTGCTGTCTCCACCTAGTTTATAAACACCAAGAGCTGACACTTAATTGAATGGAAATGAGCTTGTACTGCAGTATCAGTACTCATACAAGTATCGCCTGTACTTTTATCTCAGGCAGAGTCTAAACAGCCAGTTAAAGTCTTTGTAGTTGTTCCATAAACTTCAACAGATTTAAGGGGGAGGACTGTAGTGGCCATGTGCTATGGGATTATATGTGTGACCACTACTTTTTTTAAATACATTTTTTTTCTAGATTTTATAGTAGTTTTGGACACAGATCTGTACTGAAAAGTGTATGAGAAGCTTAAATGAAACCACTCTCAATTCTAATATCTGTATGTTCAGGGAAGAAAATTTGTAAGAAAAATTGAGGTTATTCCAAATAATGGTATGATGGAATGGAGGTAGCTCTTCACCTGAGTCAGTAGCTGAAATTACCAATATAAAATGCATCAGAGAGCTGAGCAGAAGTCATTTAGAGATGGTCAAGATGGTGGAGAGGCTGCTTCATTGTTTACTTATATTGCTCCATCTGGATGCCAGATGAGGAAACTAGGTCATTGGTGACCTAGTGACATGGCACAGAAACAGCAGAGAATGTTGAGGGTACAGAAAACGAGTCTAAAAACAGGAGGTTTCTGCTGCATTTAGGCTACAGAAGAGCCTAATGGTAGAGCTCAGTAGCTGTGGTTAGAAGTTTTCTTTTGCCAGTTAGGAAATGGCAAAGCTCCTGAGGCCACACAGCAAGAAAAGGGGGGAGGGAGTCAAAATGAGAGTCATTCTAAACTAACGAATCTTTTTTTATTATTGTTATTTTAAGTGACATCAACACCATCCGTGAAGGCATCGGAGACAAGATCAGTATATTTCTGCAGTTTTTTTCCACGTTTGTGTCAGGGCTTATTATAGGATTCATCTATGGGTGGAAGCTGACACTGGTGGTTATGTCAGTCAGCCCACTACTTGCTGCATCAGCAGCAGTCTGGTCAACTGTAAGTGTTTGGGGATTTTTAAACAGAGAAACCAGAAAAACCTTACAATTCTTATGCAAAGAAAAGGGGCAGAGAATGAGAGAAACCTAATGTGGTTTCTAAGTTGGGAGGCTGGTCCCACTCTTACTTTGATTTTTACTCCTCCTGCAGCCTTTCTCTGGGTTCCCAAGCACAATCTTGTAAGTTGTGTTCCTTCTGTCTGCATATCCTGTCCTCAATGCCATGTTGCAGGAAGATAATTTGCATCAGAGCATCTTCCTGGCACAGCAGTTTCCTCATGGCAAGCACTGGGGAAGCCCTCACTTTTGCCTTCTAGCACAAATACCTTTCAATCTCTTTCCATCTGCACATGCATGTACCACATCTCTTGCAAATAATTTACCAAGTTTCATGCTGTGTACAGAATAAATTTATACAGCGATGCAGATACATACAGCTGCTGAAAACTGAAGTTATATAAATAAGTGAAATGGCTGGAGAGGTTTCCCTTTCAGATAGGAAAACTTTCCCCTTATGTAATGTTTAGCCACATTAATGTGCATGGCTCATACTCCTGAGTGGCTATTTATATAATTTTATGGGGTTTTTCCTACCTGAAGCATCACAAGCTAAGAAAATGAATGTTAGTGGCTGCAATGTGATTGTCTTGCTTCCTTCAATATCTGCCGGTGCTCTAGTGTCTGAACACCTCAAACTCAGAGCAGCTGCAGCACACCCTCCATCACTTTTCCTAGTGTAGTTTGTAGGCTTGGGAGGAAAGTGGGATTGATCAGGAAGCTCGCCTGATGTTTCTGTAGCCTTTGATTGTAATGAGGAGACAATGATAAATTGAACACTATTTGAGGGAAATTCAGGGTATGGGAAGGAGCTGCCCCCGCGTTGCTAAAGTCTGATCTTGTGCACCTTGTGTGATTGTTGTTATTCACCAAGACGGTGTGTGTATTCCTTCAGTAGGCTGCAATAACGTCTGTTTTTCAACTTTAGCTCCTGGCATCGCTTACTGCTAAAGAGCTGTCTGCTTATGCCAAAGCAGGAGCTGTGGCAGAAGAAATTTTGACAGCAATCAGGACTGTTGTGGCTTTCAATGGACAGCAGAAGGCATTAGAGAAGTAAGTTTTTAAATTAATAATTGTATTTAAAATATGGCAAGGAATTTTAGTTGTGGGTTTGGTTTGTGGTTTTGGTTTTTTTTTTTTTTTTTCCTGTGGAGGGGTACAGGGTTGAGATTTTCCTTTGTGTCATTTTATCTTTCTATAAGTGGACAAATCAGGTGAAAACAAAGGTGTGCAAATAGACCCAGTCAGTGAGTATAGAGTACTTGGTGCTGCCACTGCAGCAGAGATGAAGATTTCTCCTTTGACTGAGATCTGGAGTTGAACTGAATGTGAAAGTGGTGGGAAGGTTACCTTTACCCCTGAGTCAGATGCAATAAAGCATGCAATCAGTTGCTTATCTTCTTCTGCTAGTGTTCTGGTCTTTGATTACTGAGCTTATTTTTAAACTACACTGTATAACAGCCTTGGGTAAAATCAGGTTACTGGCTTTTACAATGATTTGCAGCTTTAATGATTTGCAAACAACATCTGTAGTTTCCCAGTATTGGCCCTAGTCACACATAGAAGGCAAAATGATTGTGGCTGGCCACAAACTTTCATGCATATCAGATAACTCAACAAGCATAAGCAATAAATTTTTATACAAATACAAGGCACCACTGATTCCCTGCAGTTGGGAAAGGCAAAGCAGATGACCTGATCCATATGCCCCATGAAATTCTTCTATCTTTTTCAACTCAAGTTTGCCTTTGTCTTGCGCAGAATTTTTAAGGTAGTGTCAACACTAGCTTAGGATCCTACAGCCTGTTCCTGCATTTGCTTCCAGGGACTGAGCTCTGACTGTCTTATAGCCCTGTCTTCTGCTAACTGGAATTTGTTTTTAAGATGCAACAGTATTTGGACTGTTCCTGTTTGTACAGTAAAGGCAAAAAAAGCCCTAAAATGACCTAGACAAGTTGCCCATCCCTGCCCCACCCCCCCCCCCAATCTTCTGTAATTACCAGTGTCTGAAAATTGAATGACAGGAGCTGTCAATACTAATTCAAAATACTTTGACTAAAGACAAAATAATTGATATCTGAGTTAAGTAAAGCCTTTCCTTTTTATGATTAACCAGTCATTCTCTTCCACTGTTCTACTTCCATTTAATCTAAAAACCCAAACCAAACATAGTGGCTCCCCTAGGAATGTCTTCTACTAGGGACAAACTCCTACCAGGGAGTGCATTTTTCAGATAGTGAATCGTGACTCCTACATAGCTCTTGAATGCTGACCTCAGAGTTAGGAAAATCATCCTTTCACTGCACAGTGCTTCCACTGACAGCAAAAGTTTACTCTTGCAAGGGATCTGCAGTCACCTTTAGTTTCTGGCAGTGGTTTGGCTTTTCCTCAGTATTTGAGTGATCACCTACCTGTATTAATCACACTACTTAAATACAGTACCCATTTCCCTGGAAGACCTATGATGCTACTGACTCAAATTTAGATTTTAAGAGCACAATCAAGTCAAAATATTTCAATATATTTGACTAACAAAGACTGCACTGGTGGCATCTTAGAAATTTACATTGCCAAAATTAATGCAGTTTTTTTTTAAGATTGCTTCCCAGCTGAACTAATTCCTATGGTGGGTTTGTACTTTATTGAGAATACATATTGGGAAAAAAGTGCAAGCTACTGACCATGACGGTTACAGCTAGAAAGTTACACTATTCCTAGACTACAGTTTGCATAATGAGCTTGAGTAAATGAAAGCTATTTGCTGAAAACTATGGATGAGTGAATGAATTTGAACCATCCTTAGAAAAAATAATTCTCTAGTTGAACTTGTTAGTCTCTATATTGATCTTCTTCATCTACTGATGGAGTATATATGTTAATCAGTAAACTGAACAAAGGGAAAATACTTGACATCCCAAAATGTCCAGTAAGAGAACAACTTTGCATTTGGAGGGAGCTCTCATTTATCTCCTTCCCTATTGCCTGGGGTTTTTGGAGGATTTTATTTTTATTTGGCTTGTTTTAAATGTGGCCAGCTAACCTTTACCTTTGTGATAAATAATGCTGCTAAAACCTTTTCAAGGTTTCCTTTCAGCATCAATGGAAACAATGAGTTCAAGAGTGCTATTGTGTCTTCCATTATGATAACAATTGCTTAATTGTTTTCTGAATGTCTTTGATAACAGTATGCCAATATTGTTGGCATATGTCAGAGTAGATTTATTCAAATTAATTGCCCCCCTAATAGTCCTCTGTAAAAAATACCCAAAAATAACCTGTATTTGCTGAGGTTTGAATTATGTTTCTTACATAAATCCTTTTAATTAAGAAAAGGGTACTGGAAGTATTAACCAGAATGATATGTGGTACCTATCAAATTAATGGTTTCCTTACTCACTTTCAGATATGATGCTAACTTAGAGATGGCTAAACGTGTTGGAATGAAAAAATCCATTACCACTAACACATGCCTAGGTCTGTCACAATTTTTTATCTTTGGATCTTATGCCCTTGCATTTTGGTATGGGACCAAGCTCACTGCTGAGGATCCCCATTATGACATCGGCCGTGTGTTAATTGTAAGTACAGCAATGCAGCGTTGAAAAATGTTCTGTATCTTCAGGGAAAGTTATGCAAGTGGTGTCTCTGTTTTCTGCCATGTGCTTGATAAATTAGCTGTTAGAGACTCAGTATAAAACAAATGAATGGTATTCATCTTGCCCAACTTTTAATAAAACAAGTTTGATTGTCTTGGACTCTATTTGTAAGGTGGGATGAATAACCTAGAGCTGGTGCTAAAGTCTTTCTAGTGCCCATGCAGGCACTGGTGGCACTGTAAGCATTAATTGCAGTGCTCCTCTCCATCTCCCACAGGTATTCTTCTCTGTGCTTGTTGGAGCTTTCTCCCTGGGCCAGGCAGCTCCTAACCTGGAGAGTATGGCCAATGCACGTGGGGCTGCCTATGAAGTATATAAGATTATCAATAAGGTAAACACCTAACTATATAGGATAGAAGTCTTTCAACCAACTTAGCTTCCACTCCTCCTTTTTTTTTCCTCTTGAGAAATGTAACAAAAGCAGCCTAAAACCCCAACTCTATAGATATTTACTACAGAAACCCATAATATTTTCACTGATCTGAAAAAAGAACAGCCTCTTTGTTACAGTGAAAACTGGAAAACCTGGCATGTGTGTCTGAGATATATAGTTGAGGTTTTTTGTCTAATATTAGACTTCCAGCTCCAGAGGGAAAGTAGTATGGCCCTATACTAGTTTTTAAAAATTCATGGATGCACAATTCAGCTGAGATGGGGTTTACTGGGGAGGGGAATTGGTGAAGGGATTACTATCACTATTGAAAGTTATAAGGATAATAATCTGTAATGCTGATGTTGCTATAAAAAAAAGGTTTTCCATATAATTATCTTGATTTTGCAGTGCTATGCAGCAATTGCATATCTGTGTATATAAAATATTTTAAAGTAGGAATCAAAAGTTCATGGAGAAATGGCTACATCATTCTTTTTGATGTGAGTATAGAATCCTCATATACAGATTACTGAGGCCCATGTTTTGGTTGCAAGAGAATGCAGTTAAATTCTGCAGTTATAGATTTTCTGCTACAGATTTTGTTGCTTTTGAAAATGCACTGTATTTGGCAAGTAGTATTCACAATTTTATGTTTCCCCATACCCAGCATTCTGCAGGTAAAATGCAGTAGTTCTGCAGCTATGTACTGCAGTGTAAACCAGCATTTGAGAAAGTAAAGAACAATGCATGTAGCAGAAATAACAGTTCCAAACGTGAAATAACCACCAATTTATTTTGCAAACCTCTTTCCAGAAACGGATCATAGATAGCAGTTCTCAGGAAGGTTACAAGCCAGACAAACTCGTAGGAGAAATTGAATTCAGAAATATCCATTTCAGTTACCCTTCCAGACCTGATGTTAAAGTAAGTGTTCTGTTTAGACTACTGAACTTACTCAACCTGTCTCCATGTTGTTTGTCTAATTTTGTTCTTGAATGCCAAATGCATTCCTGTTTTGGGGGATGGGGCATAACTTTCCCCCCAGTGATGCACAACAACAAAGCTCTAGCTCTACTGTCACTGTGTATATCATTCTTTTCTGCAGGACAAATCTAATATGTGCTGCACCTAGTCTGAATTTCTATGAAAAAGAGTTTTGATAAATCAAATAAGATTTTTCAAAATCTTTCATTAAGGCTTCCAGACTTTGAGCAGTTAAAACAGAATTTTTTTTTTCCAGTTCCTTGACTCCTTGGAATTACGACATCCCATGTGAAAAATTATCGGAGATAGACTTTCAGTGCATTGATGGCATATTGTTGTGAACATATCCTAAATGTACATCTGGAAGTCAAACATTGTTTTGGGCATATGTTAAAATTGCTGTTCAAGAAACTAGCCTGCTCTTTGCTTGTCCAGTTTGCATTAGTGACCTGTGTACATCATGTCATGGTGATTACTTTTGTGGTGACACAGTTGGTTTGACCTCCATGCCATATTTATTTACAAGCTTTTAAACACCTTGATGAAGGTGAAAAGAAATTTGCTGCTGTTGTTTTTTCCTTGGTGAAGAACAAGGTGGAAATAGAGATTTTAAATGTCAACAATTAAAACCTTGATGTGCTGATTTAGTGCTGAACATGGGAATGTTTATACTTCTCTGGCTGTTTCTTCAGGTGGCTTTTCCCAATTCAGTCTTCTGAGGTCTGTCCCATTGTGCATCAAATCTCTTTCCAGGACACTGGGATATCTGGAGGTCAGATTAAGAGCTGGGCTTTCTCCTTAACTGAATTTTGTACAATGCATCTGCTATGCCTCTTGGCTCAGAAATATGAAGGGGGACAGAGCAGAGTCTTCATCCTTCTTTCTAAAAGTCCTTTTCAGGCTGCTGCACTGTGTTGTGGGTCAGCACACCAGATGGGAGGGAAATAAGAAATATTTCTCATTCTTCCCAAATCTGAGTCAGCAGCTCTCCCTACTAAGAGCATCAATGTTATTTAGTAGGGCCAAAAGGAATCAGCAAAGTGGTGTAGAAGTTACCCACAATCTCTCAAGCAGTTGTTACAACACAGTATAATCTTACCTATCCAGGTTAAACTAAATCAAAGAGATCTAAGGAGTACAGTTACTATTAGTTTTAATCTTGGCAATGCGTGGCTTGATGAAAGAGAGTTAGAATTAGCCTAGTGTGTGGTAGTAATTATTTGCATCTGGAGATATTCTGGTACCTAGAATAAAGTTCATTCTTGATAATGCAGGCACCAAGATATCAGCTTCCTGGGAATATAAAACTGGGTGGATGTAATACAGGGAGAGGAGAGGAATATTGCAACTATTTTAATCTCTCATTGCAAAAACATGTGTAGGCAAACTTATAAATCAGCCTAGTATAAACAAGAGTTCCCATAGCAGCCAAATATTTTGGCAGCTACACAGCATTACTTGTAATGACATGGACATCTTTTGAGGTAAAATGTTCTCTAAATGTGAAAATAGCAAAAATTATATCATTAGCTGCAGCTACTCCCCAGGTTTTTGAGGCTGTTAACAATAAGGAATGGGATTTATTAAGGGCTTCCCAGCAATTACTTTGTCAAAACAGCCATTTATATTTTAAAAATAGAAGAAAGCATGCTTGGTTTTCAGTGATATCTTTCAGTACCTGAAAATAATTTTCTCTAAGATTCATAGTCACTATGCTCTGGAAAAATGGAGGATAGTAGGATAATTTAAGACCCAAGCCTGCTACCAGGCCACACAAATCAGAGAAAATCAGCTATGAAGTTCAGAGTAATGTGGCTGTGTCTATACTAGTTTGAGTGTGCTGGGGAATTTTCCCAGGCAATGGAATGCAATGGTCTATGCAAGGGAACTCTTAAAATGTTTCCTGGCATGAGCTTGGCCTGTTCCAGTTATCAATCTTCTCAAAAAATTCCCAGGCTTGTTTTGGTAGCCAGAAGGATCTAGGGGCCATTCCCAAAAGACAGGTTGCAGGCAGCCATCCTGTTTCAAAGGCTAATACATTTCACAAGCATAGGTGAAGGTGTTTTCCTATCAGCACTCCAGGATATTCCCAGGTACATTATATTATTGTTGCCAATAATACAATACAATTATACAATTATATTATTAATGTTGTCATACTTTCAAACTGTGGCCCTCACTACTGCCTTGATAGCAACAACTACACTTACCTTGACAGACTGTTCTCTACTCAAACTTGTTAAACTAAGATTTTTTTTTTTTATTATTTATTTATTCACAGATCCTCAAAGGTCTAAACTTGAAAGTCCAGACTGGCAAGACCATTGCTTTAGTTGGTGCCAGTGGCTGTGGAAAAAGCACTACTGTTCAGTTGCTGCAGAGATTCTATGATCCTGACCAGGGAGAAGTGAGTGTCTGCAAAGGAATTGTAAAAAGTCAGAGCTATTAGGACATGCATAAGTTTCCCATATTGACCTGAACCTTCTTGTCCATTTTGACTGAATTTCGCCATATATCTGTATAGTTCATATTTCCACAATTTAAATTTCAAATGAACTATCTTCTCTTGTTGGCTTGACTTCATTATTCTGCTCCTTCTTACAGTACTACGTCACAAATATCCAATGCTACAAGTCTTGGAGTAGACTTACAAGATCTGAATTTAAAATAATTATCAACTGTTCATTTTTAAAAGTTCCTAAACCTTTTTAGGCAAAGCATAATCCAACAAAGTCCTGTTTACATTCATTTTCATTGATTGTAAGCTAAAACTTGGACAGAGATTCCCTATTTTAAATGGTTGATTTCTTGGATTGTTTTTCACTATCTGCTAACCTACAGCAGAAGTTTCCATCATTATGCATGGTATGTGCTCTACCACTAAACACTAAATCCACTTGGTAAATGGTAAATACTTGCCACATGAAATTTCCAAAGGAAAAAAATAAGAAAAATGAAACAATGTATTTTTAAGGAAATTTGATTTTTATTATTGATATTTGAAGGATGTTATTTAATTAATAGTTGCTGCTGCTAGTTGAAAGTAGGTAAGCATTTCAAATACGAAAAATTGAACTGTCACTATATAAGGTATCAAGGCAGCTGTTTTCATCACAGTTCTTTCTTAAACTTGGTTTTCCTGTGGCTGTTCATTCCTGCCCCCGTGCCTCATTTTGCTGTGTCAATGCCAGTGTTCAAAGGACCACACTGCAAATTACCTAGGTAAAAATAATTTTCCCTTTCCTTTTAGTCAACTTGAACTCTCTTTGATCTGGTGTTAAGCACAGCCACAGAGATGATTATGTAGCTGCAAATGTGAGGCTATCAAACTGGCACAGGGGCATGAGAATCATGTAAAAATTGTACAAAGGAGATGTAAAATTCTTAAGCCAACTCAGACTCGATGGTTATTGGGGGATAACAAATGGGGGAGAAAAAAGGCCCCTAATGTCTTCTCTGTTTATGCTGCTCATCATCATTTTCCATCTTGTGCAAAGAATGGAAAAATTGCAGTTGTAGCTTCTCCCCCGACATAGTTTTCTATTAAAGACAATATTTTTTTTCCTGGACCTTCTGGCTGATACTTCATTCAAGTAAGAGTAATTAATTCCTTTATTATGAACAGAGTGCATTTCCTTGACTTCTTTGACACACTCTTTTCCTCTCAGATTACCTTAGATGGTCGGGATATTCGGACCCTTAATACAAAGTGGCTACGAGAAAATATTGGCATTGTGAGCCAAGAGCCTGTTTTGTTTGCCACCACAATAGCTGAGAACATTCGCTATGGCAGAAAAGACATTTCTGATGCTGAAATTGAGCAAGCAGCCAAGGAAGCCAATGCTTTTGACTTTATATCTAGACTGCCTGATGTAAGTTCATGAACTTACTTTGAGTGTAAGAATAAAAGGTCCATTTAGGCTGATGTCCTGTTTCTGAGAGGCAGAGCATGGGAATTGCAGTTGTAGTATAACTTCTTAAAATATACTTTTTGTCTCCACTAGCTTTCAGCTTAGAGAGTTTTTCAACTAGATATTGTGCCTTTGGTTGCTCTCAAAGGACCTGTGCTGGAGTATGGGAAAAAATGTCAATGCCTTAACTCAGGAGAAAGGAAGCTTCACAGCTGTATTACCATCCCTACCCATCTCATGAGGCATAGAAGAGTTGGCCTTTAAAAAGAAGAACCAGAAATCCAAAGCCCTTGTCAGGAGCTGTCTGTACATTCCCAGGAAATGGGGGGAGTGGGTGGAGGTAAATAAGTATTCCCTGAAGTAAATAATTATGCCCTTTTAGCAGGGCATGTTTCAAAGCTCTTTCTCTGCCTGAGATTCACAACTCTGAGCCCTCTCTTAGCAGTAGGTGCCTTGCTCCCTTCAAGATGGGGCTAAAAATTCAAGATGGGTCAAGCAATCTAAACACATCCTCATAAATAGATAATATGTCCTTGCCTTTGCTCTTGAAGTCAAAAAATGTGGGAAAAGTGCCCACCTGGGATTTGATTTCAAATCCTTTTACTACTTTAGAGAGCTTGGCCCCATCTCTCAAGCATGTGCCATTTCAAGCATGTCAATCTGCTCCAAGAATCCTTCTTCTCAGGAAGAGTGGTTTGTTCATATTTACTCCTAAATAGCTATATAATAAAAAACTACAGTGGACTTTGAGACTTGTGACTTTGCAGTAAGTGGTATGGTCAGTAGGAACCAAACCATGGCTCCAAGGGGGAATGTCTCAGATTCAAAGGAGGCACACTATTGGTGCATCCCTATAATTTCAAACCTTTTGGAAAGGTAGGCAATCCTCAGAAAATACAGATATCCTATTTACAGGCTTGCCTTGAGAAACCCCAAGGTTTGGAGCACCGAGTGAGCAATAAAGATCTTTAAAGAACCATAAATTCAAAGTTAGCCAGACACAATATGGGGGGGTAGGAGGGTTTGGCTAAGGACCAGTTGGATGGACATCCTTCCATGTTTGCTCTGCCTGTGCTCAAGTCAGCTGGAAGAAGCTACATCTTCTAGAAGATGAGCACTTGGGGTTGCACTGAGAAGTGAGGATATGAGATGTATCACAACTTCTGTTCTGTTCTCTCCTTTATCAGAAATTTAACACCATGGTGGGTGAAAGAGGGGCTCAGCTGAGTGGAGGACAGAAGCAGCGAATAGCTATTGCCCGTGCCCTTGCAAGAAATCCCAAGATTCTTCTTCTGGATGAAGCTACATCTGCATTAGATACTCAGAGTGAATCCATAGTACAAGCAGCTCTTGATAAGGTAGGACTCACTGAAGTTGGCAGCTGCCATGAAAAAGTGCAACAAGCACTTAAGAAAACATAATGTACAATTTTCAGCACAGACTTCAATCAGAATCAAGAGCATTGGAAAATAAAATTTGGATGGATGCTCAATTTCAGTGTTTGTTTTAACAGAGTTTGAACCATCAAAAATTTATTTGAAAGTCAGGTTTAATTTTTTAGGGGTTTTGGTTTTAGATTATTAATAAGTATGAAGACAGTCATGTAGAAATTTAACTCAGGTCTCCTGCACTCTCTTTCCCAAATCATAATTGTTCATTTTCTGGTAAAACATTGAGGGCATCTCATCAAAGCAAGGTATGAGGACAGAATGGCCTTTTTCAGGTGGATTAATAGAAAAGTATGGATATTGATATCCCTAGTATTTGTTCTTTATTGAATAATTGCTTCATAATTTTCAGAAAGCTCTTGAAATTTAGCTATTTTCGTTCTTTTCCTGCTTTTACCAGCCCCACAGTGCTAGGGTGGGTGCTGCTGCAGAGCAGAGCTGTCAGATCTTGTACCCATGTATCTGATCAGCACACAATACCTTCCTCACAGCCCACCTTCAGCAGCAGTTTCCATCAACATACCGTAGAACCCATAGGCTTTGACTGAAAAAGAACTTCATGGTTTTTTTCTTTTGTCTAATATTTATTTTAATGTATTTTTAAAATGAGGTGAAAAATCCTGTCTTTAATTTAAGTAGTTATGGAGAGAAATACGAATATACCATTACAGCTCAAGGGAAATACAGAATTTGTCATCTTCACTTGCTAGTGAGTTTAAATCTGAGTTAAAGTGCAGATCTTTGTTATAGTCATGTAATTCTGGTGATATTAGTATTGAGGTAGCATGTAGATGCAAAAATAATATTCATATAATCTTTCTTTTGTTTTGGTTTTGGTTTTGGTTTTTTTTTTTTTCAATTTTGTAATCAAGTACTTAGCTTTTCCAGAAGCTTATTGTTTCATTTAGTGTATAACAGAGGGAGGTCAATCAATTAGGTGGACTCTTTTTCATTCTTCTTCATGTTCTCAGAACACATCAAAATGAGCCCTGAATCATAACTTACTCATATTTTCACAGCATTTTGATGTCCATCAGTGTAGTCCCCTAATGAGATTTCCAGATTTCATTTCAACATCCCTGAGTGGAAAAAGTGGTGCTACTATTGTTCATTATTTTTACAGATGAGGAGCAGAGATGCTAACCTCATGAACGCTCACTGTTTCTGGACATGCAGCTCCTTGTAGCCAGCTGTTTTTAGATCACTTTGCACCCTACAAAGCATTTTGCTAATTCTGATCACAGCTCCCAGCTGCAGTGGTGAGGGCTTTGTGTGTTAGGCCAGAGGCATAAAAACCACACTGTGGCAGACTTGCTGTGAGTGACTTGCCTCGGGTCCATGAGGATGACAGGTGTAGGAAGAAGAATTCTAATTTCCATGGAAGCAGTCCTCTACTCCAGACGGCCTCATCTTCCTCATGCCCCTGCTCCTGTGCCCATATGATGTACAACTTCTGTAACAAGAAACTTCCAGCAGGTTCCAGGTTCACAGAACATACTTGTTGCATGAGGTTCCCTTGGATCTCTCCTCCTGCCAAGCACCCATCTGCTGCAGGCATCAGGGTGGAGGGAAGCCAGCCTCTCCAGCAGTCACAAGGAACACAAATGTGTTCATTTGCTGCATGGGGGCTGTGTGTGCCTCTGGTCTGTGTGAGAGAGCTGGAGAGGGGTGGAACATGTAACCTGCTGACTGAGACTTCAGCAGCTCTTTCTGCAAATTTATAATCCAGTAGGATTATTGTCAAATAAGTTTGTTTCAGAAGGGAGTGGCTCAAACCCATTTTTTATGCAAGTTTGCTCCTCTGTGCTTTCCTGCTAAGTCTTGTCAGCAATTATGCTGATGTTGTACTTCCAAAAATTTGCAAGGACAGTATATGAAGAAAATATCTGCTCTTTATATATTTGCTACCCTAGCTTTGTTTTCAGAAAGATCTTACTATTCTCATGGCATTTCCCCATCATGCTTACATGCACATGAAAACACTTTGTGAGCAACTTTAGCTCAAACAGTTCAGATGTTATAGAAGTCGAATAATAAATAAGCATTAATTATAGTCTTTAACAATTGTTGCCTGTCTAAAAAATTAATGTGGCTTTCTCTACCTAAATTAGTCAAACAAAACTGTCCTTGGACTGCTAAACAAGGACACTAAACCAGGAAAAAATAATAATATTTGCTTTTAAAAGAAAGAAAAGTATTTCTAAGGTTTTGGTTTACTATATATTACAGGTGGCTAAAATAAATTATGTGCTATTTTCTTGCACATCTTAACCATAACTGGGTTTTGTGTGTTTCTGTAAGGCTCGGGCAGGACGTACCACCATTGTGATTGCTCACAGACTGTCTACCATCAGGACTGCTGACACTATTGCTGGATTTGAGAAAGGTGTCGTGGTTGAGCAAGGGACACACAGTGAACTGATGCTGCAGAAAGGAGTCTACTATTCCCTTGTAATGCAGCAGGTAAGGGCAAATTTATTTACTTTCTTTCTCCATTTCACAAAGTTGTCAAATGGTTGGTGGAGCTGATTTCTCTCTAGTTCCTGCCTGTTATCCAGCTGGCAGCTGCTCAGTTATTCTAGTCTGGGCACAGACACAGGCTTGGAATTCTTGGGGGTTTTACCCATAAGCTTTTCATATTTATGCAATCCAATTTGACAAAAACATAAGTGAGTTTAAGGCACAGATTGCATTGTTATGGTATAGCCATGGAGGTGTTAGATTCCAGGTGGATTCCATAGATGGCTTTAAAGGAAAAGAGGGGGACAAAATCAGAATCAAATAGTCTACTGCTCTGCAATTACAGACTGAAATATCTGTGGCCTATAGACAACTTCAGTTACACAATTGAAACAGCAGGATTCAGGAGGAAAAAAAAGTCTTCCTAGTCAAAATGCCTTGTAAATGTATATCCTGAATTCTCACTAGGGTTGTACCAGTGATGTTCAAGATAATGGCTCATCAGAAGACAGCGAAGGCACAGAATCTGAGGCATATGAGGAAAACATAAATCCTGTGGAAGAGCTGACTCTTCAAAATCATTTTGAAACCCCTGTGATACCAGGCAGCATAAGAAGACGATCCAGCAGATATAAGAGCAAGAGGAGTTCATCTAAAAATCCCTTTGGAAAAAAGAAGAAACAAAAGGAGGTGGAGGTTGGTATTAGAACTTCAGTTTAGAATTTTGATTATAAGATGTAAGCATAAACAAAACCACATAACTTAGAGTACTTTTAGATAGCTGTCTTTTATGCAACCTTTACTCACTCAGATGCTATTGCAGTCAGTACCCACCAGAATGAGTGTCTGAGGACAATTTGTCTTAACAAAGATCTTCATTTTAACACTGCTGAGTTAATGTAGAACTGGAATTAAAATTGTTATTGATTTGTCCCATTACTTTGTACAATTTAAGAGAATTATTTCAGTGGTAGAGATATTCTAATTGAAGCTAGTTAGGAGATTTCATTTGCAAGTTTCTTTACGCCCTGGTACTTACTGTTGCAAATATTGCTGGATAATATAATCCCTGGAGTGTGTGTACCCAAACTGAAGGCACTTTGGGGTATCATACTACATTTGTATCAAGCAAAAAAATTTAATCAAACCCCTGACATTTTGAAGAGCATTTCCATTAAAAGAGCCATTTAGTCTTTATGTTTTAGTATATTCTTCAGCTTTGCATGGCTTTTACAGCTAAAACAACTTAGTTGACATATGTCATACATCAATACAAGTCACGTGGGAAGTTTGGGGTTAAGAAAAATTATATTGTTTCATCAAATTTGAATAAAACTTGCTTATAGCATCAAAAAGAGTAGATTTCTAGTGCATTCTGGAGCAGACTTGGGATGAGCAGCTCAACAGAAACTTGATTTTTTTTTTTCTGTTTTATAGTACTTTTTTTCATTAAACATATTGGAAGAGTGGTTTGGTATGTTAAAGTTTCTTGAGTTTTTTGTTTAGTTTTTGGGGGGTTTTGCCTGATTTCAAGACCTTTGAAGTGAAGAACTAAAATATAAATTCCAAAGTAAAACCATTATTTCTTCTAACTCTGTGGAAGTTAGGATCTCATCTGTAATAAATATTTAAAATAATAATGAAATCCCATTCCCATTATCATGTAAAATGTCATATAGCTTCAAAAGATACTTTTTGGCTGTATATTAATACTGCTTAAGACCTTAGAGGAAGTAGTGGGTGTTCATGCTCAAGAATACAATAATAATCGCATTCAGAAAAAATAAAGATGAACATTCAGCAGTTGTAATTATTTCAGAAAAAATCAGCCCTCTTTTATAGTTGAGACTTAGCCACCCTCATTCAGCATCTAAAACGAAGGATAAAAAAAGCAGGAAGCAAGAGCAACTTGCTTATAATCCTGACTAATATTTTTGATGCTCGTTTCTGATGCTTTCATTATTTACTTTTCCAGAAATATCCCTTTGAAGGAATAGGCACTTAAATAAAGTGGTAAAGCAAGACAGAACATTTTTTGTGCCTTGGAAGCACAAACAGGCTAACTGACTCTAACATATGCCTCGTTCCTGGCTTTGGTAATGATTCATTGGATATAGTTTGCCAAAGACAAAAATGACCTCTCTACCCAATTGTTCTATTGCCAGCCCACTGGCATTTAGGTGGGGGGGATCTCTTCTATCCTCTGAACTGTGAGACTTTCAGTTCTTTATAGTGATTGAAATGTTAGTTGCCATTCATGGTGACCAGTTCTATGTGACTTTCAGTGAACTGTCCTGACCCCTGTCTCCTCATGACTTAGCCTTTTGTTAAGTTTTTTGCCTGCAAATTTTTACAGTGCAGTTGATGTTCTAGGACATGAAACAGCAAAGCAGCAAATGTCCAGCATGTTTGCTTGATCTGAGTGCACAGAGAGGGCTTTCAGCATTTTACCAAGACAGTTCACTGCTCAAGGCCTAATGAACACCCACTGTCTGAAGAATTTTATGTTCTGCAACTTTCCAAGGAAAACTTACTTACAACTTTTTCCTGTAGGAAGAAAATCTCCCTGCTGTGCCTTACTTAAAAATCCTGGCTCTGAACAAACCTGAATGGTTCTATGTACTGCTGGGAGTGATTGCTGCTGCTGTCATCGGTGCAGTCCATCCTGCATTTGCTGTTATATTTGGAAAAATCATTGGGGTATGTTTTTTGGTTTTTGGTTTTGTTTTGGTTTGTTTTTTTTCTGGGGTGTTGTTTTTGTTTATGGGTTTTCTTTCTTTGGGGGTTTTTGGTGGGGGGGGGGTTGGTTTTTTGTTTTGTTTGGGTGGGGGGTTTTTTTGCAACTGGAAGTTGCAGTCCTGAGCTTTCTTCATGCTTAACCACTCATTTCTTTCCATGTAAGTCTCTGAGTGGGATTAACTTGTATAAATACATCCATTGAAAAATGTTGAAGGGACTCTCTAGAAGCAGAGGATGGTGGAACTGCATCTGACTAGTGGACAAAAGGAGGAACATTGATGGATCTGGGAGAACAAATTACTGCTATGTAGGTTAAACAGAAAGTTGAACTATCTGCTGAGTCCCCAACAGAAAGGTGACTGCAAACTGATTTTAGGATCCAGAATACTTCCTAAAAGAAATTAAAGTCGACAAGCTTCTTGAGGTGAAGGCTGGCTTGTGTAATAGATGCTTATCTATGTACTCATTTTTGTGGGTTTTTTTCTTTTCATAGGCTTTTCAAGAAAGAGATCCAGAAAAAAGGAGTAAAAACACTGTGTTGCTTTCTGTAATATTTCTTTTACTTGGAGTGATTATCTTAGCAGCGTACATAATCCAAGTAAGTGTCACTACACTGAAATCTTAACAGCTCTGAACTCTCCAGCAGGCTGCAGGTATAGCTTGTATCAACACAATATGAGAAGTAAAAAACCAATCAGAGCTGACAAAAATATGCACAAGTGCCAGGGTTTTCCTGAGATACGTAGGTTTAATGTTAATGCTTACCTGAAGACATATTTCTGTATTTGCTCTTGGTTTAAAGAATCTGCTGAAGGAAATGTTAATTCAACATGATTGAAACCAAAGTCAAGGGTCTAGCCTTAAAAGTCAAAGTTAATAGTGATATTTCTCACTGACTAGTCTATAGGCTCTTGCCAAAGTAAGTATAAAGCAGACTCACTCTTTCCATTGCAGACAGTGCTTTTCATACCATCAAGTACATTCCATAATTTCCTGTGCTCTTATAGCTTGCAGAAAGCACTGCGTGCTCACTGATGTCCACATCATTCCAATCCATTGGTATGACTGCTGTGAGTGAATGCTTCTGATCACAGTCAGGGTAGGGAGGCCAATCACTAGACAGGTTGATTTATCTTGTAATGCTGCTATCTGTGTGCTCAAGATTGAACAGAAAAGTTTAATCTCCCTTTGCTTCGGTGGTTGTGATACAAGTATATAATATATAGATGCCTTCTTTGTTATGTTGCTTCCTTTCTGTGAGAAAATCAAGTTTCAGGTTCAGGAATGTGAATGATGCTTTTCCCAGGACATATATATTCACTGGGGGTTGTAGGTGTGATAGCTTTTGTTGAGCTTCTTGGTGTGATTGCTTTTATTGTGCAGATTTATAAACAGAGTTATAGCGTCAGATGAGAAAATGTGACTGGTTTTCCTCCTCCAGGGATTCATGTTTGGGAAGTCTGGGGAGACCCTAACAATGAGACTGCGCTCTTTGTCCTTCAGAGCATTACTTCAGCAGGTATGAATTAGGTAGTTAGGATACCGAGAGAGAAATGGATGTGGACAAGAACTTGTATGTTTGTAGAAACATTTGAAAGGGACCAGAGGACAGTAAACTGGTGACTGGAAGTAGAAAGAACCCTACCACAGCCTTTGCAAATAAAAAAGCTTCATTTCCTTTCTGTATTTACAAACCTTTGTGATCCCTTCCGATTCAGGATATTCTAAGATTCTGTAGCTGATGGGGTAAGTAATTTGCAAGAGAATAGTTAACCTCTTCAGGACCAAGGAATGTCTAAATGGGGGCTATTATAAAAGTTTCTAAATGTTTTCAGGAAAACATCACAGCCAAGAACACTTTGATTACAAACAACTAGATGTCCACAAAAGAATAATATTTTTTAAGCTTTTTCTTTTAGTTTATTTAGAAATGCTGACTACACAGAGACAATATTCAGTCAGACATCCTGTTTTGTACTTCCATGTAATTTTTTGAAAGAAAAATCAATATATTTTCTTGCAGGAGATTGGGTGGTACGATGACCAGAAAAATGCTGTTGGTGTTCTGCTAACTCGTCTTGCTACAGATGCTTCCCAAGTTAAAGGCGTATGTTGGTTCTTTTATGTATATTTTTCAAATATTTTTCCTTAAAAATATTAATTGCAATTGGCAAGGAATTCCAAGGTTATTTCAGAAAACAAAGTAGGAAATCTACCCCACAGATTGGTAGTTGTCTTTACATAGCATGCTACAGACACATTGGAAATGGTTTCTCAGCTGATAATTTACAACTATAAAAAATCCAGCAGATATTCATGTACTTTTCAAGTACCTCCCTGCAAGTCTTTAAGCTAAATATGCAGCTGTAGACCATTCAAAGTGAAATCTGCATATATGCTTGGACCACAATCACCGGACCCTAGGTTTTTACATTGTATTATGGGTATCACCTTAATGCCACAAAGAGGTTGCATTTGCAGAGGATACAAACTCTTACTGACCTCAGTGAAGATAATTCTTCCCATTGCCACAAAATGTGCTTCACAAACAGTAAGAAATAGACTACCACAATTAAAAAGTGCCACAGAGGACAATGGCTAAGGAAGAGAACTACTCAAGAAGCTGGTATAGGAGAAGTGGTCACTGGACACTGATGAGAGAATATGGCAAATTCTGCACAGTTCCTTCAGCTTCTCACCTCATCCACACAGCCTGATAATCTGTCAAACATTTCTGTTTCTTTCTGTCTCTTTGCAGGGAAAAGCAAATCACCGCAGGACTTGTGGGGAGAGGTTTACTAATGTATTTTTTCCCTTTTATATTTCTACATCACTAATCCTTTAATCCCTACATTTTTCAGTCTCCGTAGGTTTTTGTTTCTCTCCAGCCCTCCTTCATTGCAGGCTTGCAGGGATGAAATAGTCTTTGACAGAATTTAGTCATCTTAATCTTTTAGAGTTTGTTTGCTTCAGTGGCAATGAAGTCTATCACACTGTCAGGGCAGTAAAAAGGAGGGGTGCACACAGTTGACTAACTACAAAAAACAGCTAAGGCATGAATGGATGTCCAGAGTTATTGTGATGTCTGGAGTACCAGACACCAGAAAGTCAGTACCATGCCTCATGCTGCACTGGTTGAAGTTTCCAAATCCATCTTTATGTGCAACCCCTAGAACATATGGCAACAATTCACCTTGGCATTGGTTTAATTGTTAATATTTTAAATTTATTGAACAAGAAAAGTCTTTTCAGGGCAGGAAACCCTTTGGCAAAAGAAAGAAGAACATTTGCTTCCCACCCAAGAGTTTTTGTTTTTACCATCATGCCAAGGTCTGGAAGATGAACTATTTCCACAGGACTATTTGCAGAAGTTCTTTTTGCAGATCAGATCCCACCCTGATTCTGGATGCTAATCAACTCTTCTTTTAAAAAGTTTTTGGTGAAAAGATTATACAGGCTGGGAGGAGGTGAAAATTCTTCAGAGTTAGTCTTTCCTACTCATTATCCCACTGAGATAAAACATTTCTGCAGGGTGGTAAAATTCAGAGTTCTTTTCTCTAAGAAGGCACCCTCAAGTGCAGCAATGTAAGAAGCTAAGGATGAATATTTTTCATCACTGTTAGTGTGGAGGGTCTCAATGGTTGGCTGCTGTTACAACCAAGCCACTCTTGCATAATGCTGGACATTGAACTGACAACTCTCTCTACTGTCACAGTGGTCACAATTTTCACTACCTTGGGTAGCGTATGAAGTCCTAGATGCATTTCATTAAACAACTTTCATGTCCAACTCTCTAGACTACATTAATATCTCTTGAAGGCCTGAATGCTGGCAGGTGTGAGGAATCTCTAGGAATGGTTACTGAAGTTGGTGCATAATGCCCACACATGTGATTGCACATGGTTTCATTTTCCAGCCAAAACTTTGACCTTGAATACAGCAATTTGAAGTGGTAATTTAAGCAACAAAAATTAAAAATTAAAAATAATTGCATATATTTGGGGGGTTTCTGGGGTTTTCTTAGGCAACTGGAAGCCGACTTGCATTGATGACTATGACTGTCTTTACCCTTGTGACTGCCATCATTATTGCATTTGTATATGGCTGGCAGCTAACTTTGCTTATCCTGGCCTGCATTCCTTTTATTGTTGGTGCAAATGCTGTGAATGCCAGCTCTATGTCTGGTCATGCTGCAGAAGACCAAAAAGCTTTGGAAGAGGCTGGAAGAGTAAGTTCTTCAGTTTTAACTACAGAGTTCTGTGTGAGATTACTTTTAAGGACAACACTGTATTTATATTATAGCTGACTCAATTGTCCAAGATAAATGAAGGGTGCTGAGAGGAATATTTATATATCTTCAAGAAAAGCAAAACGCTGATAACACAAACCATCTGCAAATTAGAATATAAAAATGCATTTGAAAGCCTCCATAGTGGATTTCCGGGCAGTGGCAGCTGCAGCAGAAGCAGCCCCAGTACTGGTGCCTAGGGTGAGCAACCTGGCTCTGCACTCCTCTGCTGCAGCCAGAAGTGCTGCAACATTGCTACCTTTCTCTTCTGTCATAAAGGCAGGCCATTAATGTGCTCAAGAGTTTCAGGGTGCTTACTGCCTTTGCTCACCTGATAGTGCTCTTCCAGGAGAAAGAAGCAGTCCATGCAAAAGAGTAAACTGTGTCCAGACCACTTGTGCTTGTCCCCATTTTATTAAATTTGGTTTAATTAGTGAGGGCCACAACCCATGAGTTAAGGAAGACACTGCTGATGAATAATTTCATTGCTTAGGACTTTTCTTCACCTTCATCCTTACTCTTAAACAAGCACATTCTGATCTAAAATAATAAATGCTAGAGAAGAAATCAAGTGTTCAGAAGATATCTTGCAGATTGCAGTTGTAAGAGATTACCTCTAATTTGTTTTATCTCTTTGTTTAGATTTCAACAGAAGCCGTTGAAAACATAAGAACTATAGCTTCACTGACCAAGGAAGAAGAATTTTATGAAAGATATGCTGCTTGTTTGAATCATACATATAGGTGGGTTTTTTTTCTTTACATTGCACTTTAGTATTAAAGATTTACTGTGAATACCTTTCTTGAAACCTAGCCAATATGCTAAAGACTGGGAAGAATATCAATAGGTGTTCATATAGCTTTGGAATTTGTATAGTCTGTATATTTTAATATACATTATTAAGTGTAGAGTGAAAAAAAACTTTGGCAGGATTTGTCTTTTATTATGCAAACACTTTAAAAACTGCATTCTTTGCATATGTGTTACAGAATATTGTATTTACCTACAATATGGGATATATGTTCACTCCATGTCAGTGTATTGCACTGATGCTACTTAACTGCCAGTTCCACCACACCCTTTATAACATAAAACAGTTTTATTTCCCCCATATGACTTTGAAACCTTAAAAAGAACTTCATACATTTCCCTTGTCTGATCCACTGCATCCCACTGACTTTTCACCACTGAAATACAATTGAATCAGTACATTTGCCAGATGTTTCTAGCTCCATTTTATTTAAATAAAATATCCCAAAATCTAAATTGCTTCTAATGTAAAAGAAGGAATTGAAAATTATGTATTGCACAATCTATCCTCAGCCAAAATAGTGTTAAAATTCAATGTCTGGTGAACTGCTAAGAGCCTAGATTTGGGCAGAATGCTTGCTTGGACTGTCACAGGTCTGATTTACAGCTCAAACTAGAAAGGAGATTTTCTCTTCCTCAGAGAGCATCCTAAACAATGAGGACAGAGTTCACCAGATTCTTATTTGGTGTGTCTTTCAATTAGCTACACAAAATGAAACCCTTCCAGAGGGACAGATTGAGAAATAGTGGTATAGTCTGAATTCTAGTGGGGATACCCAGCTATGTGTCCATGCTCTGCTCAGATGGGATGAGCTGGTGGAAGCCTGCAGGCAGCTCTCAGGCCAGGCTTGAGCCTGCTTGTTTTCTTAATAAAATTGGTCATATGGGGTAATTATTAACTTAATTGATTTTAACTAACTGTTCTAGTGACCTGTCCTGCTATAAAACCAATGGAAGGGGATTGAATTTAGCATAACTGAGGATTAAGGTTTTCGTGGCTTTCTGTCCTAAGGGTGGTTCTATGTCTTGAAGTATGGGGCTTGTAGGGTCTGGCATGTATTGTTTGTGAGCATGTGCATTGTGGGCTGATTTGTTGTGGTTTTGAGGGTGAGCTGGATTGCTTGAAAATTGGCTATCCCCCAACCACTGTCTGTTGTTTCTCTTTTACAAGTAATTTATGGAAAGTTTCTTCTTTTATCAGAAAATCTCTGAGAAAAGCCCCTTTCTATGGATTTACCTATGGAATAGCTCAATGTTCAGAGTATTTTATTAATGCAGCAGTCTTCAGATTTGGAGCATGGCTCATTGTTAATTGCCTGAGCAACTTTGAAAATGTATTTATGTGAGTATACCTTATAAAACATTAAAAATATCAAAATTAGTACACAGTGTAGTGATTTCAATGCATGCAAATTATTTTATCAAATTACGGAGGTAATGGGCTTGGGAATCCAGGAATTCAGTCTGGTTGGAAGTTTTCTTTAGGCATAAGGGCTATCTTAGGGGAAGGTGCATCTTGGGTGGTGAAACAGCAAAAGTGAGCAGCATGCTCAACACATCTACTCTGGAGAAGCCTTTGCCCTTTGATGTCCCTTCCAGGCAGAAGATGTTAAAAGAAGTGATATGATAATGTTCAGCTGTAAACTAGCTATGGGAGCAAGCTGACCTTCCTAGTACTGGATGACATCTTGGAGTGTGAGGGGCTCCAGAAATATCATAACCTAAAGATGCTAAAAAGCCTTATTCTGAAGGTATATTTCACACAGTAGGAAAAGAATGCATTGTATTGCATACCTGGAATGAATCACGCTTTGTCCTTTGCTTTTTAGAGTCTTCTCTTCTGTCATATTTGCAGCTATGAATGTTGGTCAGTCTTCTTCCATGGCACCAGACTACAGCAAAGCTCGAATATCAGCTCAAAGAATTTTTCATCTTTTGGACAGAAAACCTCTAATTGACAGTTACAGTGAACAAGGTGAAAAATTGGTAAGGGTTGGTGTCATTTTTTATGGGAGCTTGGCAGGAGATGTGTTTCTTTGGGGTTTTGGGTGTATTTTTTTGGAAGAAGTGTTCAATTTTTCACAGGAAAAATTGTTGTAACAAACTAAATTAGTAATTATCTATTGTTGGCAAGTGTATTCACAGGTGTCTATTTCATAGGGTGTCACAAAAGGATGCTGAATTAGGATGACCTGAAGGGAGCCTACAAGAAAGATGGAGAGGGACTTGTTACAAGAGCATGTAGTGATGGGACATGGGGGAATGGCTTAAAACTGAAAGAGAGCAGACTTAGATTAAATACTAGAAAAAAAATTATTTCCTGTGAGGATAGAATGAGTTGCCCAGAGAAGCTGTGAATATCCCATCCCTGGAAGTGTTCAAGACCAGGCTGGATGGATCTCTAAGCAGTCTGGTCCAGTGAAAGGCATCCCTGCCCATGGCAGGGGCGTTGGAACTAAATTTTCTTAAGGGCCCCATCCAATCCAAACCATTCTATGGTTTTGTCAAACAATATAAATAGTGATACTGACTTATTTAGAGACTGTATTATTTCTGGGTTTCAGATAAAACTGTATGGCCTTTCAGGTAGTTTTTTTCTCTAAATGATTAAAAAAAATACTTTTCATTCTATGACTCACAGTGTAAATGGCTTTAGGAAAACACTGATAATGTCACTTCCAATAAAATTTTTGTTGTCTTTGTAAGAGTTTATAGGAGAAATAAAATGCATTTTTCTAATTTTTTTGTAAATAAGAGAGAGTAGTTCCTTTACAGACAAGTACTTTGCCAAAAGCCATCCTATTCTATCTGTGGAAATTTTACAATTAAAGATGGGCTTTTGTGAAGTCAAAACAAGCTTAATGAATAATTTAGTTTGTTCTAAAGCTGGGGGAGGAAAGACGACAAGCAAAAAACCAATAAAAAGTTAAATCAGAAAACATTCCAAAATTCCCAAAAGAGCCTTGCTTCTAAATCAAAATTGTCATTAAGGAGCCTGACCTCAGCACTTGTCAAATTTATGCATGTAATGCTTTCAATTTACATATCCTGGAAGGATTACAATGGTACATCCAAGTTCATCTAAATTTAAAATTAACCTCCCATGTAGATTTAGAGGGTAGTTCCTTCTCAGGAAGCTGCAATCCAGTTTTCTATAACTTCAAGCTTATATACAGGGTTTTCAGCCTTTAAAGTTCTGAGAATGCTTGCATATTTTCTTGAACCAGGGTTCTCTGATGCAGGCATTGAAAGACTTGGCAGGAGGTATCCAATAAACTTAAGTGCAAACATTTTTAGTGTAGACTGGACTTAATTGCCAGTGATGCCTATGACTTAGCAAAGCAAATGTTTGAGTCCATCAAATTAGGTTAGTACCTGCTGTGAGAGCATCGTGTTAGTGGTGCTGCTGGCATGTACAGAGAGCTGGCTCATACCCCAAAGAACAGGACAGCTTTGGCATGTTCCCCCTTTCTTCCACTTGTGCTTAAATATCAACTCGTCTAGAATGTCTAATTATCACTGCTTTTTTAAACACAGCTTGTCCTTTGTGCTTGTGGATAACCTACTGAAGAATTTAGCTCAGCTATCTTAATCTCTGATTTTGATCTTGTGTTACATTTGTTCAAATTGTGCTACCTGCAGGGTAAGATCAGGAAAGAAAATGCTACAATTTATACCACAAGTAGAAGTATCTCAATTAAATGTATTAGAAATGAAAAATCTGGATATTTTCTACTTTTCTTAAGACAGTGGTTGAGCACTGGAACAGGTTCCCCAGGGAAGTTGTCATAGCACCAAGCCTGACAGAGTTCAGGAAGTGTTTGGAAAATGCTCTCAGGCACATGGTGTGATTCCTGGGGATGGTGCTGTGTAGGGCCAGGAGCTGGACTCTGATCTTGGGGAGTCCCTTCCATCTCAGCTTATTCTGTGCTTCTGTGATACTCTTTCAAAGATGAAGTGAGAAATAGACACAAGAGATGCAGAAAACTTCTCCAGAAGGATGTAGTGACTTACAGATCATCCTGTAACTAGTGATACTATGCTCAGTCCAATATGTCATTTAAAAGAATTTAAAAAGCACTTTTCAAAACACTTTCCCAAACTTTCTTGGCTCTCTCACTTTAATAACCAAGTCATAACAAGTGTTGTTATAGTAAAGGCTAATAAATAATTATATGAGCATGTGAACTCTCTACTGCTTTTCAGAGCCATTTTGAAGGCAACATTGAATTCAGAAACGTCCATTTTGTATATCCAACAAGGCCAGAAGTTCAGGTTTTGCAAGGACTCAATGTGAAAGTTAAAAAGGGACAGACTCTGGCATTAGTAGGAAGCAGCGGCTGTGGCAAAAGCACATCCATTCAGCTCTTGGAGAGATTTTATGACCCTGTGGAAGGACAAGTGGTAAGAATAGACTTGTGCGGCTATTAATAGTAATTAGATCTACAGAACTCTTTATCTGCCAAGGTTTCAGAGGCTTTTGACAAGCCTGGTAGTCCCTCTGTTGAGAAGCCTTTTTTTAGAGGTGTGAGTTACGGAGGCTGTGCCTCCAGTGGGTCTGTAGACAGTCCCCAAACCCCTGTCATTGCCTGCCCTGTGCATTTGCCCACGTGTCCCAGCAGTGGCATCCATGCTGGCAAAATGTGCTTCCTCAGGTCACAGCTCTTGCCTGGGAAAGGAATGACCATGTCTGACTGGATTTCCACCCCAAGGCTTCTCACACCCTGGTCAGACAAGGGCTAATAACACTAATGTACCTTGCTTGTCACTGTTTAAATTTTCTTGCTCACGTGAACTAACACATTAGGGACACAGATGCATGCTTCAGATAACACAAATGTAATCTCACATAGATATTTTTTCACCATCAGGAGGCTCCAATGGGCTTGTTAATGGGTATAGAAAGTGGAAAGAAACCTCCTTTGGAGGTTGTAAGATCGAAAGGCATACAGCTGAGAATATTTATTGTTGTGTTCAGCTTTTTAAGGGGCAGGCTATCCCATGAGCCTCCTGGTGCTTCTTGTGGTCAGTAGGGCTGGAAGGACCACAAGAACAACCTGCATGTTGTTTCTGCTTGCTAGCAACTGGAAAAAATAACAAAAAAATAAATACCAATGCAGGAAAATATTTGTCTATTCTGCTGGTTCTTTTCCATTTAGCATGCAAAAATATTACTTGATTACATCAAGTAAAATAACACATAATGGGCTTTCTCTTAGAATTCACATTTCCTGTTTACAGCAGCTATGTGTGCATGAGTTCAGTAGCAAGCTTGGCATCATGTTTCTGTTGCTTTTCCTAGCTAGCAGATGGATTTGATACCAAATCACTGCATTTACAATGGCTGAGGTCCAGGCTGGGCCTGGTGTCACAGGAGCCCATTTTGTTTGACTGCAGCATTGCTGAAAATATCCAATATGGAGACAACAGTAGGGTGGTTAGTCAGGAGGAAATTGAAGAAGCAGCTAAAGCAGCAAATATTCATGCCTTCATTGAAAAACTGCCAGAGGTAAGAGACAGTGATGTTCTCTTCACAGTGAGACCATATATTTGGAATGATACAGAGATATTAAGGTAGTGCTCACTTTTGTTTCCCCTAATATAATAGTCTTTATGTTTTAAAATGTCAGTGTGTTTCAAGCTTAAAATCCTTCCTAGTTTGTTAAAAAAAAAAAAACAAAAAGCCAATGTTTTCATTATTACAGTGGTAGACAACCCAGAATATTTGGGGGTGGGGGGAGGTAGGGAGAGGGAAATGAGAGAATGCTCTGTGTATAAGTAAGTGCTCATAATATTTTTTAAAATTTGTTTTTCCTTTGACAATAGAAACTCTTCAAGTTACTCTGATAGACATTTTTCTGAAAAAAATAGTAAAATAAAGCAGTTTATTTCTAATTGAATGGATATGCACAAGGATTTCTTAGTAAATAGAAAGGGACAGTAAATCAAAAGAGAATGGCATGGCATTTGACCTTCATGCCTGACAAGAATTTGGTTCTAACAAGGAAAAATGTTTTGATAGTTTGTTTTCACTGTAGTTCTGGGTACCTGAAACTGAGGCAATGATGTTGAAAAATATTTAATTTTCATTATTACTAATAATGTTTGAGATTCTTAATTCACAAGCAATGTAACTTCAAATTCTTTGTGTATATGTCAGTAAGAATTAAATTGTTAGTTAATCTTAGGATTATATGCTCTTTGGGTGCTGCACTGCTGGTACCATTCAAGACCTATTCCAGCCTTTGAGGGAGTAAGTTTTCAGACTGGATATGAATATGTGAGGATGTATATATAACTACTTGTACTAGAGATGTTTCTAGAGCCTTATCTTTCTTGAAACTACTTGCAGTATTCTTTCTTTCAGGATGAAAATTCTTAACTTTTAGAACCATGAATAAATTTTACTTTTCTAATCTTTCTTCTCTAATAGTATTCACTGGTGATCTTTCTTATCTTTTAACATCCAGAAATATAATACTCGGGTGGGTGAGAAAGGAGCACAACTTTCTGGAGGTCAAAAACAAAGAATAGCAATTGCCCGTGCTCTGGTTCGTAATCCTGCTGTTCTTCTTCTGGATGAAGCTACCTCTGCTCTTGACACAGAAAGTGAAAAGGTGAATAATGATTTTGATGTGAAACCCTAAAATTAAAGCAAACATGCTACAAATGCTCAATTGTGAAACAAGTCAGGTATATCACAGTAGCCTTTCCACCTGAAAGGTTTGAATTGAACCATCCTAGAAAGATATTTATATTTACTGAATAAAAAGTAGGAAAAAAAAGAAACTTTAAGTATAAAATTCCACATTGATCTGATACTCCTCAAATGTTTTCATATCAGATGTATTTGATGGTAAATACTGAATTTGTGTTCTGACTTAAGCTGGGTGCCCAAGAAACCACTTCTCCATGTCTTACACTTGTTTGATCAGGCTCACTGACTTCAGTGAGAAATCCTGTTGAGTACATGCATATATCTGTGGGGCGTGTATTCAGGTGATAAGAAAGTGAGAAATCAAAGGTAGTTCCTAGGACAAGGGAAGCTTTTTCAGGTGCTGACAGTATTGCTGTGTTCTCTGTGGACAGATTGTCCAGAAAGCTCTGGATAACGCCCGGCAAGGTCGGACCTGTATCGTCATTGCTCATCGCCTGTCCACCGTGCAGACAGCCGACATCATCGTGGTGATCCAGAATGGAAGGGTGGTCGAGCAGGGCACCCACAGCCAGCTCATGGCCAAGGAAGGACACTATTATGCCCTTGTAAATGCACAAGTCTCTAATTAGTACTACTTGCCGAGTTGTTGAGGTTTTTTATTTTGTTTTGGTTTTTTTATGGGAAGACATTAAAATCTCTACAGAGGATTATTGTTGGCTGTGTTTGTGCTAACCAAGCAGGAGCTGTGTTGCAGCCTGGTTGCTGTATCCACTGCAGCCCTTGGGGATGAGCAGTGCATGCCCGGTGCTGGGTCACAGGAGGTGCACAGAGGAGTCCTAGGGACTGAACGTGTTGAGCAGTTTGGTGTGTCACATGCTCTGGAGAGTGTCAGACCTGCTGTAGTCTCACCCACAGCTCAGGTGGGTACCCTGGTCTTTGTGTTCCCCCAAACTCTGGTCCACAGCAGCTGCCACAGACCAAGGTGATAACAGAGTACGACAGCAGTTAAGCATCATGGCTAAACAAAATGCTGGTGTTCGTGATTGCTCTTTGGGTTTCTTCACCAGCCAGATGAAGTCATAAAGTCTTCTTTAAAGATGATTATCAGTTTTCACTGAAAACTGAGATTCCAAAAAAATTACATTAAAAAGAAGGATGTTGATGCATGGGTTTGGTTTTTTCCCTACTTTATGCCCCATTTCTCATATTACTGTATTTCACACATTTTTTGGACATTCAATGCTCTAATTCATAATAGTTATAACCTTTCCATATCAAAAAAACTGCACAAAATACCATTGTTTTGTTTAGTATTTTTCAAATGCTGACCTTTCAGCGTTTAGTCATTCTTTGTATCCATCAAGATAATTTCAAAAGTTGTTTAGGGAGCTGGGATGGCATCTATTGGAGTGGATTCCTGTCAACCATATAAACAGCTTTTCTTTAAAATAAAGAAAAAATGAAAAGTTGTTTTCAATATAAGTTCCTTTATTTTCAATAGGCATAGTACTTAGGGTGATGGTGTAGTAGTGGACCTGATAGTGTTAGGTTAACATTTGGACTTGATAATTTAAAGGGGGTCTTTGCCATTCTAAATGAGTTTATTATTCTATGAAGAATTTCAAAGATTTTTTTTTAAGTGTTGTCAAAGCTTGTTTATACATGTGCTTTAATAATTTTTTATTCCTCTGATATATTCCTCAGGGTGCTACAATACATCCTTTAACTGTTGACTGTGTAGTCAGAGTGACTCAGCAGCTGGGGTTTTTTGGCTGCATAAACCCAATTGCAGCATTTCAATTTTCCAAGGCTTTGCACGTGGCTTTGGGTTAGGATTTATAGCCTGGAGCAACCTGCAGTACTTTATAATTTCCAGATTGTAGCAGACAAGCTTACAGTAATTCCCATCTCCTTTGCTCATTTCACTTATTTTTCGGTATCAGAATCTGCAAGGGGAATAAAACACACAAAACAAATCTGATCTCAGGTTTGCCAAAATAAATACAGTTGCTCTCCCTCAAAGCTTTTTCTCAGAGACTGTTTCAAGACTGTTTCATTCAGGCACCCCTCTTGTGTGATCTCTTAATTTTCTTGTGATAGGCACATACTATGGAACTGCTGCCCTTATTACATTCCCAGTTATCCAATGTGGGCTTCAATTAATTCATTTTTCCCTGTTTTGTTTCTGCACTGCAGTTAAAATTATGAGTACTAGATTTTGATTCTCAGTTTTGAAAATAAAAAAAGAAAATAGTGACTACTTTTTTCAGCAGTGAGTAATTTTTGCCCAATTCTTCCCTTTCCCATCACCAGTCTCCATTTTTTTTGGAGCTTTCTAGTAGTGGAAGTTGGAAACAGCTCCACTCTGAGGATCTTACCAAGCCTCAACCTCTGTAACAGCCAGACTGATCCTCAGGGATCCAAGGATGCTGCATCTATGGCCGAGGAGGTGTAAACTGCTTTGGTAGTTCTTTTGTTCTGCCTCGGGGCCACCATGAGCAGAGAACACCCTTGGTGCCATGAAAGGAGCCCTGTCCCTGGTGCAGGACCAATGCAGACACTGCTGTGCCTGCCCACTAGCACACACATTGAGCAGGATGACTTCACTGACTCCATCAGATATAGAGATAAATATGTTCAGCTTGTAGGCACTAATAGTAAACTCTGTTGCTCTGATAGTTTATTTCAGACTACCCAGGTCACCTTCCTGGGTGGCTATGCCCATAGAACTTGCAAACTGGCTATGCTCTGATTAAAAGCAGACCTAAATTAAGAGAGAAATGTATGTCAAAACCACCTATTTCAGCACCAAACCCTATATGATACAGAGATCAAAATAATCAACCCTGAGATTTTGCTGGCTTCAAGTAAACACTCAATTTTTCCTTCAAAATGCTTTCTGAATGCCTTCTCTGAAGTCTTCACTCTCTTTTCTGGGAAGCCATATCTTAATTCCATAGAAGATTAGATCAGGGCTGGCATCAAGCAAGTTTCTGAGCTAAGTGCTTCTCTTCTAGACATGAATGAGGTCTTTGGTATTCCTTGACAAGCATAGGCCAATATGTTGCCTTCACCCCTATCCTTGTGGCAGTCATTTTAGGGGTGAAGTCCCCAGTGACACCAGCAGTGACTTGCCATATTATGGGCACCTTTGGAGAGCCCAAGACTTGTGCAAGGTTGGGGGAGACTTTTAACTCTGACACCTGGAATATAAAGCAGCACAGAACAAAAATTTCAGGAAAAAAATGTTGGTATGAACATGTCTTGGTTCTGACCAGGATAGGGTTAGTTCTTGCAGTAGCAAGGAGGGGGCCTGGCCACGACCCAAAGGTTATTCTGTACCACCTCATCATTGACAGGTGTGCGGAAAACGGAGTTTCTTCTGGGAAGAAGGGGTTCTTTTGGTTGAGTAAGTGTGGTTTTGTTATAGCAATGCTCCAGCTTGGCCCCCATATAGGGCTCACCTGCTGCCTGCAACCATGGGCACTCTGCCCAGGGAGAAACAAACTTACCTAAGAGAGACCAGCAAGAAAGCTCGAGAGGGACTTTTTACAAGGACATGCAGTGATAGACCAAGGCTTTGAACTGAGAAAGTAAATTAAGAGCAGATATTAGGAAGAAATTTGTTACTATGGGGTGGTGAAGCACTGACATGGGCTGCCCAGAGAAAAGTGGATGCCCCACCCCTGGAAGTGTTCAAGGCCAAAGTGGATGGGGCTGTGAACAAAGTGGTCTGTGGAAGGTGTTCCTGCCCATGGTGGAGAGGCTGGGACTGGATGATCTTGCATATCCCTTCCAACCCAAACCAACCTGTGATTCCATGGAGAGCAGAAAAATTCACACAGTTTATCTGGAGGTGTGGTTGTGTCTTACTGAAGCAGGAAATACATTGGCAGCTTTTCCAAGGCATTTCCAAGCTCTTCTGTTTCTTAATGGATGTGGATAATATTAGAGGAATGTGATCTGGCAATCACTAGAACTATATCCAAATTGTGAATGAACTGGACAAAATAATGGATAAAAGCCTGTAGTTTAGCTCTTTCTGTGTATCTCTGCTGCTGCATGTAGACAAACCAGACTTCTGTAAAATACATTTTCTCCATGTCTGAGACATTAAAGTGTTTCTATCATCAATGTAGTAAAGAAGAGAAACAGCTGGGCAACAAAGTCACAAACAGTATCTGTGTAGTTTCTTCTTACAAAATGCGATTGAAATGCTGTTTGTTTAGTCCTGATCCTTAGGTACTTGTAAATGACTGGTAGTTTTAGATGCAAAGGTAGAAGAATCCAGTTGCCTTATTATCATTTATCACCTTCCAGCTGCCTTATATATAAGCTTCACCACAGTTGCCCATTGCCCTGACATTTCCCAGGGTTATGGCTCTCCCTGACTGTTCTTTTACAGTTGCCTGGACTGCTTTTCCTCCTCAAGTACCTTGCCTAGCACACACAACAGATGCTGCACCATGTGATCTGGTGCAAAACAGAGGTGAGAGGGGAAGTGACAAAACAACAGCAAAACTAAAGGATTACTTTCTAAAATTAACAAAAAATTCTCAGCAGAAAACTGGTCACTTCATTCAGTAAATTAATAACTTACACTGGATTACTTTCATCTGCCTCTGTGCTGTGCTTTGTTATCCAGAGTGCAGGCAGCTCCTATCTACCTGAAGCCCTAGCAATTAGCTCATTTTAGCATTTTACTGCCTACCTGGTTCATCAGCAGTTAAGTCCAGAAACTATTTCCTGAAGCATATCTTGCTAATATTTCCAAATGTTATTTGGAAATAATTTTTTTTTGCCCTTAGGGAAGCTCACACATCCGCTGGAGTTATCCCCAGTCTGCTCAGTGACATCAGTATCACAAGCTCCAAAGCAAACTTGCAGAGCCTTCCTGTAATTCTCCTGAAGATGCCAGTCTTTTCTGAATGCTTTCACAGAAAGATGTTTTAAAGTCATGTTTGTTCAACAAATAGATTTTGTGGACTTGTTTAAATTGACCAATATACGTTTCTTCTTTCCATAGGAGTAACATTCTCATTTCTTTCTAATCCTTATGAACAGAATGTGTTTTTACTGCCCTCTCTCTCCTATGTTATCCAAGGCAAAACCACCTTGCAGTCAATCACCACTGGAATAGTCCCTTTTGTTATGGTCCTTGAAGTCTGAAAGAATGACTATATGAATATGGTTATTTTTGTGGAAATAATTGTTCAAGTTCACCCCAAGGAGAAGAGGATATCCTCAGTATTCTATCCACTGTGAGCAGCATTCATGGAGAATGCAAATGTTATTCTACCAAGAGGGCAACAAGGGGGAAGGGGCATGGCTGTGGGGCACTTACCACTCAGCTGCAGACATTTGGGTCCAAAGCAATCAATCAGATTGCCTTTAAAGTGCTCTAGGACATGACTTTTCTGTTTCCAAATGTCTGCCTGAATAGACCGTGAACTACATCAGGGAAGGGCCTATTTCTTACCATCCACTGAAAAGAAGAGTATCAGTTTTTACTCAGAGTATGCATTTACATTTACATCAGGGGATGGGAGTTCAACTCTGAATGTTTTACCTTTCTTAAAGAGATTGCTAGGTTAGTTTATCAGTCCCACAAATAATTCTTGGAGATCCTTATCTGGGATCTCCAGGCCTCTCCAGATAGGCACTGGGGAGCCCAGTCTTGCCGACAAGTGCTTTGAGGAAGAGGAAGGGTCAATACAGTAAAGACGGCCAAGTTTTCTTCATCTATATATTAGCTGTGCAAGAAGCTTTGGAGTGAAGGGAGAAATTTCAGGAAACAGGAAATATTTATCCAGAATGTGCAAAAATGGAAAGGAAACATACAGGTTGTAGAAGAACCCAAACCAGTTTTTAACCATGACTGAATTTGGACAATCTGCATTTTTGTTGGATGGCATGTGGAAAATTTTAAACAAGGAGTTAACATTTTTAGGAACCAAAATAGTTAGTGTCTCTGGCATCTACATATGAAATCATACAAAAAATGATAAGTAGAGTTTCCATTTTCACATCTGTTACTCATATGAACATATCCCTGACAATGCAGTGTGTGTGTTTCTTCAAACTCAACCAAAAAACTATCACTTTATACAGCACAAATAGTTTGGTTATAAACCCACTATGTGTGTTTACTACAAATGAAGTGTATATCAGCAATACTGAATATGGAAGCAAAATTATAATGGGTGACTTTTATTATTCTAGAGCAATATGAAAAGATATCTGTAATTTGGTTTTCTTTTCAATATTCAGTAATGTAGTTTTAGTTGGAAAAAATAGGATTCTTAATATAAACTTACACTATTTTCTTCAATTTCCTATATCACACATACTTTGAGACCTGGGACAACATTTTCCATGAATTGATGCCAATTCTTTTGGGACTCTTCCAGTGTCATGCTTTAATGCTTTCTTTCTCTCTCTCTCTTTTTTTTCTTTTTTTTTTTTTTTT